TCGAGAATCGTAATACAATCGCGGCTGAAAAACGTACGAACAAAGCGGATAAGAAGAAGTCTCTCCGCTGGTGTGACTGGCGAATTTTCCGTTGCCCGGAGACCGGACAAAAACTCAGTCGCAGGAAAGATTCCCGTAGGAGGTTCCCCCTTGGCCAATCGCTCGCACTCCTCCCTAACCGTGTTCTTTTTAATGCTGCTAAATGTTCACACGAATATTCCCAGTCGTGGTTTTCATTTCCTCCGTTATGGAAATTTCATACTGAGAATTACCATGAAATATGCAGCGATTAAATGCTAACAGCATTTCAGTAATTATTTGGCAGTAATTATTTAAATTATTCGATGCTCAATCATTGCTAAAAAAAACTGCGGGAATGAGTTACTGTAATTATGTAAAATATTGTTTGCAGCAAAATTATGTTGATACAAACGAGATGAAACAAACTGATATTGGGTCATTTTATCTGAATAAAAAAAAGTGCCAATTTGTTTCCTGCGTCTTCTCACCTCACAATGCGTCCCTTCGTGACTTCGATCGTGCAGCGGTCACTCACTCTTTTCTTAGACACGGTCGCTTTATCTTAATAATCGAACAGGAACTTTTGATTGATAACAAAGACGCCGCCACTGGAGTTGCAGCCCGCGGAAGCATCTCAGCCAGCGACGTCTCGTCGCTGGAAAAATGGTTCATCGAGACCTTCGACCTTCCTCGCTTTCTCCGCGAGGAGCACGCCGACGGGCGCAGGCAAGAATCGTCACGCTCTTTGAAATTCGCCGGTGATTCAATATATCGGCGTAAAGCCTGACCTTTAAATGGTACAAGCCGCGGTCGAGCCGCGGACTTTAATAATTACCAGTGAAAACGTGCGAGAAGGTCGCCGAGCTGTACGAAGACGATCGTGTTCGCTCGTTCGTTTGTTCGCTCGTCTTAATTACTCTCGGAGAGCAATCCCGCATGCCTAATGAGGTAGGGATTCACCGTTCCTCGGCGACGGGACGGCGACGGCTCTCACGTGTAAAATCACCCCCGGCGGGCGAACAACCGCGTCAGCCGCCAAATGCAACCTCGATCGCGCTCCCGGAGCAATTCGGATAAATTCTCGCGATGGAAATTGATACGGAAGTCCGCGCGTTGCGTACCACGAGCAGTCTCACGGTTATCCGGACTGAGGTTTCGCTGTATGCGAAACTATTTCCACGATATGACGTACGGTGGAATAGCTCCCGAGGCGATTTCTCAACTCCGGCCTCGGTCGAATCCATGCATCCATGTGTGACGTATCATCGCTGCGAATACCAGCGTTGTACGGCTCAAGATATTTGCGTAAATAAACACGGGAGTTTCGATAAAGGAGTAAGATATCCGCGAGGATTTCTTCGGATATCATGGAATTCCGTCGATTGAAACAAATTTGTATTTTGGCATAGAACAAGGAAAAGGATGTTCGATTCAACAAACAGAATTGTTCGGCTTCAAACGATCAATACATTTACGTCAAATAATAATTTTCTTCTGTATCTTCATCCAAAGATGTTTCTTGAAAGAGGTAACGCTATGTTAGAAAAATATTAAAGGACTTCTTTGTTTCAACGGAACGATATTTAATATATAACTAAACAAAATTTTTCATTGGAAGCGAGATATCATTCCCTCTAAACGATACTGTTTTTTTTTACTTTCAATCAAACAAAATGATGCCCGATATTAAATTATGTTGTTTGTATATTAAACAAACCCAAAAGTCAAGCAAACACGTATAATCTAACATCTAAATCCGAAGAAACCTTTCCCTCCGTGTGTGAGCTTGCGTAATTTTGAAGACCCGCGAATGCCGAGATTCCGCGAGAGGCCCTTCGAACGCTCACGAGGATAATCGAGGTGAGAGGCGGATTCTCTAGGACGTAATCGAACGCGAATTCGATCGTCGTTATCGCCGTTCCGATTATCGTGATTGAGCCGATTACAAAGAATCCTTCCGTGTATGTCGTTCGCTTTTATCCAACGCGAAATCACCTCCTCGCTCGCGGTACCTCGCACACAGGCGTCTCTTGGATTCACCGGAGGTGTACTTTACGCCCACTCTCTCGCACGACGAGGATTGCCTGTAGGTGCAAATATCGCTCCATCTACGAGCGAACCGAGAGACAACTTTCGCCCTCCAAGGCTGAGAAGATTCCTCGCGACGAGCTCATCGTGACGCGCGTAATAAAGACGGACCGGCGGACGGACGGTCATTGAAAAACATAATACTCTCGACTCGTTAATTACCCGTTACTAGGTACGTACGATAGTGTCGAAACGAGCCTCTAATGGGTAATGGATATATCGCGCGTTAGAGCGAAAAGTGAAATTAAGCGAACACGGCCCGGGATTAATGCCCACAAAACACGCTCGAGTAACTCGCTCGTTACGCGCGCTCCGACGTTCTCAATGAATGCGACGACGAGTCTTCGAGAGGGAGAAAGAGAGAGAGAAATATATATATATATATTTAAAATTAATTTATTCGCGCTGCGATTAATCAGGAGGTCTGTGTGTGTACATGTGTATGTGTATGTGTGTGTGACTTTACATAGATGTTCACGTAATATATCAAGTGTACACGTACTCAGCGAGCAAAATCAACCAAAACCCACGCATTCAAAATCGAAAATCCAAAATCGACACATAAGACAACTTAAAATATAAAGATCGAAAGGGAGGAAGGGAAACCAAAGGCGCGGCTTTAAAATTATTCTTAATATCTTGCCTCTACCCTTTTTTCTAATAAAGATGAATAAAATGAAAAAATAAAGCAAGATAAAATCCAAAGTGCAACGGGAGAACGACCATGTATTTCTCAGATTCCGTAGCCTTCGCGAAACATTTTCACTCCTCTCTCTCTCTCTCTGTCTCTTGGTTTCACTTTTAAGGCATCGCACCGGCGCGTTGCAGGATGCGAGGCAGGCTGAATTGCGAAATTTCGATTGTCGAGGTACGACCTCGATCTTCGTGGCGGCGGCGGCGGCAAGTGAATCTCGCGCCACGTGACTCTCTCTCTCTCTCTCTCTCTCACGTAGGACAAACTGCTCGCGTGTTCCGCGCGCCGCTCGGCGACTTCGACCCGCGGAAACGCTTACATTATCGCCTTCGCCGGGATCGGCGCGATCGTGCGTTAAATAAACGAGATCGTGCCCGGTCGTCGTCGTCGATCGACCCCGTCGATTTCTACCTTCGCGATGCCGCTCGTCGTCGCTAATTGCCCGACTTTGTTGCACGACTAATACCGGAGAAACTCGCCGCGGGAAAGTCTCTCCGGCGCGTTGAGACCGGCCGAAAAGTCGTTACGAATCGGGAAGGGCGCTTAGGAATTCACGCGGAGGAATTCCGTCCGTCCGCGCGCGCAATCCTCCGTGTAATTACACGGCCGGCGAACTTCGGCCGGCTATTTCAAGTATCTGATATCGTTAGAACGCGATCCCGGATAATGGGGACGAGACCCGGCGATTCGCCGGCGCGATCGAGCGTTCTAACGAGCCAGCGCCGGCGTTTTCTTGCCTTCGCAGACCGGACAGTCTCGCTGGAATGCGCCGAGCACTCCTTGGATGCGCCCGCACGACGGCGGAGGTGCAATGAGTCGCGGTCTCGCGCTGGCAAAGGCCACCGGGATGCTAGAGAGCGAGCGAGCGCGCGTTTCCATCCGCGAGAGAGATTCAGAGACGCGCCTCTCGAGAACCCGCGGCGATGATTACGATCATTGTCACGCCGGTGAGGGATTTGCTTTCTTTTCTATCATCTCTCCGCTCCGACGGCCCGAACGGTCGTTATCTAACGCCGCGCCCTCCGCGGCGAGATGATTCAATGCAAAACGCAACTTTCTTCCGTCTCGCGCGAGACCGCGTCCAGGAAAGCGATTCCCGACGTCCGTCGCGAACGGACGGAGATGAGGTGTAAGAGTATCGATACTCGGCCAGTATCTAACGTCGGACGTTCTTCCTGTTTCGGTCTTCAAAAAGGCGAATATTTAAACTTCAACATAGAATACATATATGTATTATTCTGTGTTGAAAGTTTAAATGTTCACACTTAAAAAAAAGCACAATAAGAATGTCCAGAATTATTAAGGATGTCCGTACGTGGTTTTTTTCCAGATTTTTTTCTGATAGGATTAAATGTTAAATAAAATAAAATTTTGCACAAGTATCAAATATGCCAGGCTGCGTCCAGACGTTGGTACTTTTGCCTTACGCGACACGCATGTCGAACAAGCGACATTCGTCGTCCCCTATGCGACGAACGTTTTCTCTCTCTCTCTCTCTCGTAATCTCTCACGCGAGTAAGCTTCAACGCGCCGAAGCTCTTTCCGCGTGCGGCATAGTGGTCGCGCAACGCTTTCGCGCGGAACCGCCTACCACCGCCGCCGCAACCACCATCCGTTGGACGGTTCTCTGACGAACGGATAGGCGGCGACGGCAACCTTAGGGCTTTTACGCACGCCAAGAAGTCGCGATTTTTACCGCGAGTACGCTTCCGCGCGCAATCGGGTGACACAGAATGCGGGAAGGGCGGGAGGGGGCGCCCACCTGCGTTGTTATACGTTGTCGCGCGCAGAAACGACGATGATGCCTATCCCGATGGCTTTCCCGATCGCTCATATCTACCCACCTGGCTGCCCCACCTTCTCCGGAACCGTAAAACGTGCAAGTTACACCGGGAGTCATCCGCGGTATATACCTACGTTTTACCGCGCGTCGTCTTCTCTCTTCGAAGACGCCCGCGGCGCCTTCCTTCCAGGCGAAGGAACCCGGTTGCGAGTCCAGGTGACGTAACGAAAGAGAGCGAGAGAGACGTTATGTCCCGCGGAGCCGATGCTCCGTTCTCCCGCGCGCGATCCGCGAGAAGGGGCCCCCATCCCATGTCGGCTCACCCGCAGCCCCATCCTCGCTCCCGGAAAGCGTCTTCGGCGGCCGTCTCCTCTCAGCCACGGCAGTCGCCAGTCGTTCATCGAGTCTCATCGCGCAGGTAACCAGCGCGGGCAGAGCGAGTCCGCAGAAAAGAGAGCCAAAGTCAGTCCCGGAGGTCGTCCCAAGGGGGAGAACGAGATGGAGTTCACGAGACGATGCCTCAGCCTGATCTCGGGTACGTTTACTGCTAACCCGCGGTCTGTGGAGCGTCTGAGTGGATCCCTCGAATATTCCGCGGGATCGCCTGCTTCTTACGGGATTCGTTTTGTGTGAGGGATGCGGACGGGGGATGTCGGGGGCCGATGGTGCACCGCCGATGACGTTAATCGTCCCGAATTTCGCGTCTCTCGCGGAGGTGTGCTGTCTCGAGCACCTGAGCAGCCGAGCGCGCACTGAGAAACGAATGAGTTTGGATGCCACCTGACGATGGACGAGCAAAGCCGTTGTTTCGGCTGAAGGGAACGAAATTTCCGATCATATAAGCGTCGAGCTCGGTTCGCGTGGTTTAAATGGAAATTTTGTTCTCTTCAAGAGAAACGCATTCGGCCGTTGTCCATTGCCAGGTCGATCCAGCTAAATTTATTTTTTAGTGTATTTAATATCCTTCGGGATTATCTTAGTGCCCGGGTGCCCGGATGATTGAGATCTTTTACCATTAATTTCGTAAAACCCAGGAGTATTGCTGAAAACACAAGGTGTCCTTGGAGTCATCCTCGAGGTCGTTAAGCTATAAGTCGTTCAAGACGCGTGTTTACGTGAACTTTTTACTTGAAATAAATCAAAGAATCGCCTCCTTGGTCGAGTATTTAAGGAACACCCTGAACAGATCACACCGACAGCACTTTTGAGCAGACGGGAATCGCGGCGGCACCACTACGCGATACTCATCCGTCCTCGAATTCATGAAAATGAGGTAAAGCGATTGAAATGAAATCGGCAGCAAGGAGAGAACGAGACACTAGTTTCAAGAAATGAAGTTTGTCTTCTTGAACCGGCGATTTCCGTCGTTTTCCATTTTCATGAGTTCGGGGAAAGCACGCAGCGGTCTCGTTGTGAATTCCGCACGTCGGCTCCTCCGGCTGGTGACGAAGAGTCGCACGGCTCGGCGAAGTCCTGGCGGGATTCATGGTTTGCCGGATTTGGAAACCGATGCCCATTTGGCACGCTTCGTTGGGGGACGGCGCAGCGTCTCTTCTTATTTAAAGCACGTCCGTAAAGAAACCGACGCCGGTGCACTTTCGATCGAGACAATCCCCGTGCGTGCGGTCACGACTGCATGAATATCCACTGCTTTTTTATGCATACCGCGTTAGAAAGGTGCATCGACACATCCGCCAAGACTATCCGATCTTCGCTGGATCTCGTGGAAAGGCGTCCGCCGCTTTCGTGACGTTTCGATGAACGAACGAACGATCCATCTCGTACTTTTCGCGAACCGCAATCCCCGCGCATAAAATCTTTTAGCGATTCTTCCTGCCCTTGAAAATTTCCGTGCGTATTCCAGTCGGGATATTATGGAGCTGCGCGTTGGGTCTCCAGCGGCCACCACCGAGATACTCCCAGCAGTATATGCCGGAGACCTCGTTCAATTGTCGCAACAAGATCGTCGGCAGCTATTACGCGGATCCTGAGACCGACTGCCAAGTCTTCCACGTCTGCGTCTCCGTAGCAGGCTCTATCCAGGATTACAAGTGAGTCGCGAGAGGCGGAGCCCGCGATCGAGAGACGCGAGAAATGCATCGGGCGTGCATAGTCGAGCGAATATTCGCGAGACACCGAAGTAACAGAGTGATCGAGTTTTTTCCACCGTGAAAACGTCGAACGATTTCGTTTCTGCCAGAATCGCGAGGCAGAAGACACCTTCTCAATGGTCCAGGATGAAATATCAACTTAATAACGTCCTCTGTGCATTCGATACATCGGTGAATAATTTTAATGATAAAGAGGAGATCCCGGACAGCGCGATATTGGTTGAATTTACCGGTAAAAATCAATATACCGTGCGGTCCTTTTGGATTTTCACGGAGCCATTTTCTACCGATGCTCGTTTCTTTTCAGGTTCCTCTGCCCCAACGACACCGCCTTCGACCAGGAGAGCCAGACCTGCGCGGACTGGTACGACGTGGACTGCGAGGCGGCGACCCTCTACTACGCCAGCGACAACTTCGATCTCTACAGAATCGGCTCGGGCCTGGAGTCCGTTCATTACGACAGCCTGCGCAGCGACGCGGAGCCGCAAGACCACTTGCAGCGCAGCGAGACCAGCGACGCGGTGCGTTCTTCGGCGAACGCGGTCAACTCCCGGGTCTCCTCGTCGGGCTACAATCGCGACTTACTGCGCGGCAGCAGCAGCAGCAACTTCTACAACAGGAACGGCGGCAAGGAGGACGATTACGAGAACGACAGGGCGTTCAACAAGGAGGAGGCTCAAGACACGAAGAAGAAGGGCGGCGTGAGGAAGGTCAGCAGGAAGCAACCGTACAACGCGAACTACCCGCCGTCCAGCAGCACGTCCGTCCCTCCGCTCGCTGCTCAGAATGGTTACAACGGCAACTACTACAACGGCAACGCGTATAATCAGCCGCAGCAACGACAGTCCACGACGACGTACGTCTCGTCGAGCAGCGTGCGGCCGCCTCAGGAGAGCTACAACAGGAATCAGAACGGCCAGAGGTACAACGCGCCGTCCTCCACGTATCGGCCCAGCACGACGTACAACCAGGACGCGTATAACAACTACCAGTCGGCCGGCAGCAGCACCACCACCGGCCGCACCACCGCCTATAACAACGCGTACAACGCGAATTACAATCAGCAGAACACCGGCGGCTCAAGCTTCGCTCAACCCACGAGCCCGAAGCCGAGCAGCTACAGTCAGAAAACCAACTACCAGACCGGCTACGGCCAGTCCACGACCGTCCAGCCGAGCACCAACTACCAGAACACCGATTACACCAATTACCAGCAGAGGAGCTACAGCAACATCCAGCGCGGCACCAGCGGCAACGTCCCTCACCAGCCCACCACATCCGCTTCTACCGTCTACGATAGCTACGGTAACAACAACAATAATCACTACAGATCAGCCGCGTCCAGCAGGCAGGAGCAGACCACCGCGAAATACTTGGCGAGCTACGCGCCTACGACGTACAGCCCGGCGACGAAGAAGTACGCGAACGGGGACAGCGCCGTCGCGCAGACCGCCCTCAGGAACAACGACAATCAATATTACGAAAAAACGAGCCAGTCGGTGAAACCATCGACGCAGTATTATGACAGCACGAAGACGCCCAAGAAGGCGACGCAGTACAGCAATTACGAGGGCGGCGCGAACGCCGGCAAATCGTATTACATCGAGACCAGTACCGGCAGCTTCGACATCGCGAGGTCCTCCGTCGGGATCGGCTTCAGTCCTGCGAGCATCAATCATCTCGCCGAATCACCGAGGACGACCACGCCGGTACCAAGGTAGATCCTCGCGATCACTTCGAATCAATGGCGAAAGAAGCGGCCTGGAAATTTGCATTTTTTTTCCGTACACTCGGAGGAAAATCACCGTTCGATCGGAGATTAATGTTTTTCAACAATGGTGACTTCACGCCATTTTCTTATTCCTGTAAAATTAACTGTAAGCTGAACTCGATAAGAAGTATTATTATTATTGTTGTTGTGGTTGCTGTTATTGTTATTAAGGAAACTCGTTAGTAATGGATTTCTTCCCTGGTTACAGGCGAGCCTCCAGCGCAACCACCTACAACCCGAACACCTTCAGTTCCAGCGCTCAAAGGATCGGCCAGCCAACGACGACGGCACGGGGCGTCACCTACGTCAGTGGGTCCGCGAGGCCGTTCTCGTCGACCACTAGGTTACCCAGCAGCAACGGCAGCAACGGCGGCAGCAGCACGACACCGCGACCGAAGTCAGGCAAGAAGAACGATTATGATTACGCATACTACGATAACGCGGGCGGCTTGGAATACGACGGGGTCGACCTCGAGCACGTCACCAGCAACAAGGAATCCACGAAGATCGCGAGGAATTAGAGATTCTCGTAATAATAATAATAATAATAATAATAATAATATATACATGTATACCCCGCGCGTCGCGAATCCCTCGGAACTCGTCAGCGGGGAAGAGTAGTGCAAATCTTACTTCTCGTTACTTTCTTCTCTCTCTCTCTCTTTTTTTTCTTTCTTTTTTTGCACCACCAATCGTCCCAAACACCCGAAACGAGTTTTCGAGGGATTCCGACAAGCGATCGTAAATTATCATTTATTAGTAGCCAGTCGCTGTCAAAATCGGTCTTCGATTATAAATGCGCACGCGCAAAGACGGAGGGAGGAAGTTGGCGAATATTGAATACCGATTTTGAGAGGAAAATCGTTCGATCGATCCGCTTGATCCGCATATACGGCGATTCTCCCGGCGTTATCGACTTACCGTTTTGTCGACTCAGTATTCTAGAGCAATTGTTTGTTGCGTTGTTTATGATGCCTAACGGGCGTAACATACGCGTGAATGTCGATGTCGCGGTGAAGCATGAAAAAAAATGTGATACAAACGTGATCCACTAAAATTCTCGTGTTCACTTTAACAAGGTGAATATGTTAAAAAGTGATACGTTAACAAGATATATTGATTTAACATGTATACTTGTGTACTTTTTAAAAACAAAGTAACACAAAAATTTCAATGGACCGTTTTGAACTTTCAAAACTTTTCACTGTGTTTTAATGCAAAACCAAAAAATTCCATCGGTTAATCTCCCTCTCTTGATCTTTTGTCACGCGAGGAAAAATGGTCCGAGATAACCGATCGTTGATGAAATCTATCATGTGCATTTTGATGCGGTGATGCGATATCGTCGAATTACGAAATTTCTCGTAGATTTTGTATTTGCAAGCGTCGAAGGAGGCCCGCGCGAAACGTGATTCGTGAGAGATTGTTGTATTACTTGCGTCCTAAAAGATATGCATACTGAGTGTATATATTTCATAACTATTTTAATAAAAAAAAAAAGCACTAAGTAACGTGTCTCGTTATTTTATCCTTTCTTGATGACAATCTCCTATATACCTTCCGTATTATTCTATAATAATATAATAAAATTGTAATAATTGTAATCATTATATTTTGATATTTTTCAGTACGAGACTTTCAGTACGAGATATTTTATATCATATAGTCTATAATCTATAATCTGTGGTATTTCATAATCTATTATTATCACCGATTATTTCGCAAATAGTTCGCATTCCGCGAGCATCTACGACACGCGCGGTGATATCATACACAATACAACATAAAACACACTTTCATGTACATTTTCGAATATGCATGCATATAAATACTTCACTTTTAGAGATTATATATCAAACACAACGCGTGCAACAGTTTAAACTATTAGCGACATCGTTTTTGGCAGTATTTTGCCGATTAATCGGATCACGATCATTCGTTCGTTTGTGTTCGCTCAACTTTCTTGCGATTACAGACGCTAAGAGCGTCACGAGACCGAGCCGAGTCGCAGTTTATATTTGTCCTCGCAACGATAATATAGCTGAAATAAATAATTGGATATGTTGAGGTATAATTTACGAGACCGGACTATCCGAAGAGATTGGTGACGAAGCTGTTGAATCCGTTACTGAGTGACGAGAAAATGCCGCTGTTGGCGTCGGCCGCGGTATTAATGCCCGATTGCGGTCGGTAATGTAATGTGTGCTCTCGGTGCGGGTAAGGTCTGCCACCGGTGTTCCCGTTGTACAAAACGGATCCACTCTCGTCGTCGTACTGCCTCTGTTCCGTGTTGGTAAAATCAATTTACTCGCTTTTTACGTAAGAAAACACGATACACCTGTTCGCCCGTTCGGGCATCACTTACTTTCGTCGAGTAAAGCGTAACGTTGAGGAGCGTCGGGTGTTGTTCAATCACCATAAATTCCACTTCCCGAGGCACGTACCCGTTCGAGAATACCTGCGTGGCACATAAAATAAACATGTCGGGAAGCACTTAAGTTTCGGCGCAACGGATGGCGCACGTCACGACGAAGAAGGACTTTTGATTTCGCGGTCTCGGGTAAACTCGATCTCTGCGAAACGACTTCGAAAGATTACGTGATCGCGGGGGCGGTGAAAAATTAATGATAAGATATCGATTTTCCGCGCGTTTCGTGAACATCAGCGAGATTGATAAGGGAATATATCAGCATACCTCTAATTTATAAACGCCCGGCAGCAGGATCCGCCAGAATTCACCGTATTTGGTCGTTGAGAAACTGACGTCTCGCGACTTCACTTTGACAGACGCTCTCTCGATGGGGTTGCCGTTCTCGTCGACGACGAAGCCGTGAACACCTCGGTGAGCCTCCGCCAGAAACTTGATCAGCGACTAGAGAAACGGTAAAGTGCGTTACGCGGCATCTTAGTAAACTCCCGGAGTTAGTTTCATACACACATACACACATATACACATTTATTTTGGGACGATCTGTTAAGAAAAAAGTGCTCATTGTTTGCGACTATAAATGCACATCGAATTTTATCGGATGCATTCGTTTCTTTTACTTGGATTATCCGATCAGATATAATCGGACGTTTTTCTCAGTGCACTCTTTATGCACATTGGTACGGCTACTTTTCTTTTTTATTACAACGACAAATTTAATTGGCCCCGGAGATGATATTAAATGCAATGAAATTAGCTATCTCTCTCTCTCTCTTCCTCTCTGTCTCTGAGTGTGTCATCGTCCATCATCGGCACTGTATTAACCCATGTGCGTCAGAGCGGATGTATCTCTTCATTTTGTCTGGCCGTTATCTCTCATTTCGAATGAAAAAAAGTATATATATATGTATGTATATATATTCAAGTAAATATTTGCTAAACAACGTTGGAGTAATTATGTCATTTGGATTAAGTAAATATCACTTGAATATAGCGCACTGAGAGAAGAAAGTTTAATCCCCCGTCCGCCCCCTCACCGCTCGATTCTCCTCCCAGTAATGCCGCAGATCTGATGCCGGCGGATACTTGCAGCAAGACAGTTCTAAGGTGATCTCCATGCAACCGTTCCACACGTAGTTGAAGTCCTGCATACCGCCGGTGAGCGGGTACCATTCGGCGCCGTTGGTGATGCCGCGCTTAAACGCGGGCTGGGAGGGCGAGCACGCTAGTCCACGGTACATGGAGCCGTGATTGCGCGAATACGTGAGCGACAAGTGCTGAAAGACGTCGTCATCCGGCGAGACACTCGGCGTCGATGTAAAACTCTGAAACACTATTCTCTCTATATGACACTGTTACTGTCCGAACGGCCGAAGCTCCGTCTGTCGTCTCCGGCGAACAGATAAGGATGATTGCGTGCGCGCGAACTACCGTCATCACACCCTCATGTATGCATCTCTCTCTCTCTCTCTTTCTCGCTCGCTCACTCGCGAGCGCTCGCGCTCGTTAAATGACTGAAGCTACCGTGTGTTATCATGCGTCTGGAGTCGGAGCCGTATTGATGATGATGATGATTCCGGCGTGTCAACGTTCACTCTATATCCTACGTATCTATCGCGCTGGCCGAGCATCATTCTGTCCATTCGGTTCATTCCGTCAAAGCCGGTGGCAAGGATGCTTCTTATAACGGGCTACGTTAACGGAGAGAGATTGATGATAAGGAGGAGGAGGGGGAGGAGAATATGCGTGGGTCGCGCGACGACGAAAGAAGATTACTATCATCGCACACATCAGTCGCAGAGGCATGCCGAGGGATGCGGGTGATAACCGTGTCTTATTAACCGTAGACTTTATCATTTACACCTTTCGGCCGAGGCGATTCCACACGGAGGCAAAGCTTTCGTTAGATTTAGCGTTTCTATTTGTTTGAATGAAATTTTCGCCTCACGGAAACAATGTATAGGAAATATATGATTTGTTTGAGTGAAAATTCTACCGTCTCGTTCGAGAAGACTCAATCGTTTAACAGAAAGAACGCTGTTATTTGAAATAATATCCTTTAATCGAATAAAATATGTTATTTGGTTACGATAAATATGCGAGGTGAAACGAATAATGTTTTTATAAGAAAATTATCCTTCGTTTCGAGTAAATTTTTCAATTTATAATGAAGATACGCATTCGTTGAAAAGTTTAACGATCGTACTTATTAGTCGAGACGTTACTCGCCTTGGAGTGTGCCAATTGCGAAATTTATGTTCGGACGTGATAAAATTGATTGAAACCTGAAATCTTTTCCTCAGTGCAGATATCGAGGCATTCTCTTTGCTTTCTGGATCACGTGGCGTGATTGTCGTTATCGCTCGTCGTTCTCGAGACTACGAGCGAGACGTTGTTAACGCGACGAGCAATGTATAATTCCGTTCTTTCCGCTTCTCTTTTTCTCGTTTCGCTTCTTCATCCTCTTTTGCCATTTCTTTTTTGCGCGCGCGCGCAAAAAAAAAAGAAAACGTTTGTCACGCTACGCTTCGGAAGTAAATGATAATGTCACTGATTATACTGCTACTAGCGATAAGTTAATCATGTATATTGCACTATACCTGCACACAGTGGCGCTGATCGACATATTCCTGACGGCATGAAAGTTTACATAATATCATGACAGCTTCAGAGCTATGCGCAGTTACGCCATAGCTGTCTGCGGTCTGTGGACGGATAAACGGAACGTGCGCCCGGCCGGAGATTCGATATTAACGAATTCAATCGGACAGTCGGAATCGATCCCGTCGCTGGAAGCCACTCGGAAAATAAGTAACGTCGCTTTTCTCCGCTTTTCTGGGATTTTTTGTGATTTTTTTCGTTTTGTTTTTCTTTTTTTCTTTTTTCGCTTCGTCTCATTTTCTCGCTCGTCATCGTTACCTCGTCGCACGAGGGGAGGTCACGGAACGACGGTTACTGATACGGACTGAACGTCGCTATGACGTGTATGTGTATGTGTGTGTGTGTCAGACGACGACGACGATTCTGCCGACTCAGGATAGGCTGATTGAATGAGCTGTGCACCCGGGTCTTTCTTTTTTTAAACGATTCTCCCGCGCGACCGCTCACGGTCAAGAAGAGGTGTGTTCAACTTACGCGAATTCGGGGTATTATCGAAGGGGTAGCTCGCTACGAGCGCACCGCCGTGCAGACTGCCCGAGAGCACAAATTGGATCTTTGATACCCACTCCTTCACGGCCTCGGTCTCCGGCTGGCTCTTCTTGTTGTTCTGCTTAAAGTAGTCCGGAAAGTTGCGATTCAAGTCGAAGCCGCGCGCGTTGTACCTGTTAAAGTCGCAGATGTGAGAATCAGGGGCACACACGCGCGTGCACACACGCGCGTACGTAGATATCCCGAATGCTCGAGGGAGGGACGAGTTACGGAAGTCAAGCGACGGGTGTTGAACGGTAGAAATCGCTTTATCGGAATGTCTAACCTGCCTTGACCACCGTCGCAGCTGCCCTCCTTGGAAACCTCGAAGCCGTCGGGATTCATCGACGGCAGTATGTGAATCCTCGTATTGTCCAGCAGCCATGTGATGTACGCGTCTGATCCGTACGATGTCACGAGGAACTGAAAGGAGGAAAAATGGAGATGTCGCAGAACATTTCCGTGGGCGTTTTATATATATCATTAATCGTCCGCCGAAAATCTCGCGAAAACGCGAGAAGTTTTGTGTGTAAGAAAAAACAAATACAGCGGAATCTTACGTAAGTGAATTTTATTCTCGCATCACGCATATTGACATTCCGGAATTGTCCGCCTCCCACCACCATCCACGAGTATTTATTTCGCGCTCGTGAGTAACGTGGAAATCCCGATGTCGCTGTGACAATTACGTACGTGAATGAGATGCAGCATCAGCTCGCGTCCCACCGCTTCGTTTCCGTGTATGTTGGCGATATACTTCACATCGGGTTTCCCGATCATGTGCTCGTACGGCGACGACGACACGACCATCACCCACAAGTCACGACCTGTCGAATGTCGCTCGAGTATAACGTTTCGTTAGGATTTTCGACGAGAATACGAGACGTGTGCAAGAAGAGACCACCACGTGTCGCGGGAATTTCTCGCGCCGTCTCGATCGAAAATTAGAAATCGAACTTTTCTTTTCCCCATTGATTTTTCCCCTTTTTCTCTTCCCTCGTATCACCGAGATATATTCAATTCTGAGCCTTTTTTCGCGTGCACACACGCGAGAAGATCATACCTTTCACCGACTTTCCTATCGAATAGAGCGCGGTGAGATTTTGAAATCGAAGGGACGTCGCGCGAAGAAAGCGGCTCATCTGCTCGTAATTGTGATACTTGAACTCGATGTTGTGCGGCTCGTCGTACATCAGGAAACGTGGGTGATACTGGCGGGGGACGTCTCCCTTGTTCGGCAAGTGCGAGACGGCATTTCCATGAATGCTCCCGTAAATGGAGATGAGAAAAAGTAGCACGCGATACATTCTGCAAGCAGCCGTCGTAATACACTCGTAAGATAATAGAGACGCACGCGGCGATTCAGAGCGATCTGTTAACGAGCGTTCAATTAACCGTGTGCGCGGGCGCGCGCATGAGAAGAAACGCGACTGAAAGTCGCGCCTCTTCGCTGCCTTCCGCCATTTTTACTTTAAGCGGGAGTAACGAAAGTTCAGATCGCTCGATCATCGATCTCGTTGAGAAAATCAACTGTACTGGCTCGATCTGAAACACACGAGGTCGACACCTGACGTGGTTACCTGCTCGTGTCAGCCGATAGATGGGTTTGAAAAGAATCGCCGAACGGAATCGCTCCAACCGCCGTGCCTGCCGTCGGTGCGTGCGTGCGTGCTCGCGTGCTCTTCCGTGTTCGTGCGTACGAGGCGCGCGTCCGTGAAAACAACACTAGGGCAGTGGTATGTGCAGCCAAGAGAATTCTCCGGGACTCTCTCTCTCCTCTCCTCCCGGTATACCGGTTTCTTTTCCTTCCTCCGCTCTCGCCGAATTAAATCGTGCTCTTACGCGGCCGGCGCCGGCGAGGTCACGCACTTTACGTACGCGATCACGTAAGCGCGCGCGCGAACAAGTGGAAGGACGGCATTTGCGGAAATCGAGGAGGATAACAAGAAGATACGAAGAAGAAGAAGAAAGGAGAAGTGAGAGGAGAAAGAGGGGGAGGAGGAGGAGAAGAAGAAGAAGAAGATGAGAGGAAGAAGACGAAGAAGAAGCTGAATAACGGAAAGAGAAGGAGAGAAGAAGCGGACCACGCGAGCGACAGTGAGGAGATTCGCGCGCTCGGATACCGAACGAAGGTGCAGTTCACCCGTGAGAGTAGCGGCGAGATATGTGATACTGTGAACTTACAAAGAGAAGCGAAATATGCCGTGCACTCACTACCACCACCACCATCAGCAGCAGCAGCCAGCGGCGGCGGCAGCAGCAGCAGCAATACAACCACCACCACCACCGCCGCCGCCGTTGCCGCCGCTACGACCACCACCTCCACCACCTCCACCACCACTACTAATGAAACCCACTTCCTCCGTTACTGGTGTCTCTGCTGTCTGCTCCGTTGTAGACCAACCACTAGCGCAACCAGAGTGTACCAGAGCCGGGAGACAGCCCGTTTACTGTCTCACCTTAACACACTACTACACGCCACCGGGCACACAATGAGCAACGCGTCAAGCGTATCGTGGTGAATTGTTATTTCGCGCGCGCGCACACACACATACACACATATTTAGCGGGTACTCCCGCGCCCGCATTTAGCGCGATATCTGGAGATCTCTCGCGGTCGCGCCGGGAATTTCACTTTTGCAGCCGAGCGAGGTCGAAAATACTCGCGGGCTCGCGATAAAAGGGTAGAAAAAGAAGGAGAAAAGAAGAAAAAAGGCACACGTGATTCTCCCCGCGAACGAGTTAACGTGCGAGTCGTTCGACGACGATAAATTTGACCGAGTCTGATGATCGATCCGGCGATCTTCGCCGATCTTCAAAAGAATCGCTCTACGGAGTCAATTTCGAAAGAATCGAATCAATATTACTTGATTCGAGTGAAAATTTACTGAGGAGTATATTAGAGTAATTATTTCTTTCGATATTTAGAATTGTATCTTGAATCTAATATTGTTTTCTTCTCAATTCACGAGAATTATTCTCGAATTAATATGGAGATATTTTTAGCGGAAGTATATTTCAGCGGTGTATCATTTTATCATCTGTAAGAGCAAGTTTTACTTCTATGTAAGATTATATATCTTCGTTTCTCTTTCTACGTGAGAATATGAGTCTTAAATTGACGCTGATTCTTCTTCTGTGAATCACGAATACAGGAGATCGGAGCGAGAGGTGATATTTTGGCCCCAATTAAAGATCCTCACTCGCCGCGGATTGCAGACCGCTCTCGGCGCGAATTACCCCGGCTAAGGTTAATCGCTCGATGATACTTCCCGCCCGTTATAAACTAATTTCACGATCTAGCGTCGTTTTATTCGTAAAGAGGACGAGTACGTGTCGCGTGTGCGGCCATGTACAGTTACAAGCCGCCGCTATTGTCGCCACCACACTAACGGAGGCGGCGGAGGAGGAGGCGGCGGCGGTCACCACTACCAGCGCGCCGGTGTTAATTGAGGTGAAGAGGTTTTCGTTCCTGATGTTTGGCACTCGAAGACCCCGCCGCCCCACGTACAACGAGCCCGCTGTTACAGGCCAATCTCGCGTCAGCCCTGGCCGCTATATCTTTTCGAATATAATGAACCGCCTGCCCGCCCGCCCGTCCGTCCGACTAAGATACCACTACAGAGAAATATACAGGTCGATGGAGCATTCGTAAGATCACCGACGCGTCCACCACACGTACTTTCGACGAGCGGTATTGAGGACGGTGTCCTACTAGCGGTGCCCGCGCCTACCGGCGACGCTCAGCTCGGATCACGGTTTCGGATGGATCGTTGAACCCGCGTGGAGGAAGGTGAGACACTTCGTAAAAAAAAAATTTCAACCAGAAGTGTGTCACCGTGGCGTGGCGGTGTGTATATATATATATGTATACGTGCGTGTGTGTGTGTGTGATGGTAGCGGTGAGTGAAATGAGGAAGGTAGAGGGGAACGGACAGATCGGGTTGGAGAGGAAGAGAGCGACAGCGGAGGAGAGAGAGAGAGAGAGAGAGGAAAAGATAGAAAGAAAGAGCGAGATAGAGAGATGGGATAGAGAGAGAGAGAGAGAAAGAGAGAGAAAAGTGGCTTCGAACTTCCTGAAGATTTCACTCATGGTCGACGATTTACCTTGAGACGATAGAGCCGCCTGCCTCCTCTCCCCCTCTCCATCAAAGGAGACCTTTCATAACGGACCCCTTTCAGAAAGCGGTGTGTATGCGTGAGGCTCAATGACGGAATTAGCTCAATGAACATGCCGCTCCGATAGCCCTCTCGCAGGGCGACGATATTTCGGATAATCAGGCGCGCGTTAATCACGTTAATTGCTCCAAGCGCGTGCCTCGAAATGCGTCTCCTCTGTGCGCGTCCCGTGCAATCTCTCTCGTGGTGTTTGCCCGCAATTTTGACCGGTTGCGCGTTTAGAAAGCGCAAGAGAGAAATCATCGCGTGACGAACGAGAGAACGCTCTCCCCTTTTTCGCGAGTTAGGACCCGCAGAAATGACTCGAGCGGGGTGGTTTCTACGTTAAACCTCCTCCTAGATCGTCGATAAGCGCCCTGTTCGAGAACCCCGTGATTCCAAGGAAATGTGAATTTCCTCACTTGAACAAATTTTCCCTCAGCGTAAAAGTGTGTGCGTTGGTATAAATAAATATGCCATTAGTGCTCACTCCGAATAAATATTTTACTTTTAGATGTATGATTTCTAAGCATTTTACGTTATTATCTCGATACCTCCACAACATTGCACGCGGGTCTGTACAGAAACAAATATATACTACATGTCACAGATCCAATTAGTTGAAAACATTTCCCCGCAAAGTCGGACATTGTCGAAGTCACGTTGCAAATTCCAACAAAGAAAGGGAGTTTCCTCCCGCAAACGAAGCATGTCACGAAGCTTCCACGAAAGGAATGTTATTTCACCGGCTGGGAACGCGACAGCCGATGTCAGAGGGAGAGAGAGAGAGAGAGAGACAGAGAAAGCACGTAACGTTTCCACGCAATTACATACTTAACTATGATGATAGAGTCATGATTACTTTTCCGATACCGACATTAAATATAGATTATCGAAGGATGAACGGACGTCGCGATGTTGTGTTACTAATTAATGACAGCATTTATTTTAAACACACCGAGATGTAACGAAGCCGAGGATGCATGGCGCGCGATCGTTCGTAATAGTGCTTCGCAAACTATTGTCGCGTATGTTTTACCGTGCATTCCTGCTGATTTTTTCACCGGATATGACATGATATTTTCTCACATGATTCACATGTCTCGCGGTCGAGACGCGAACCATAAAACTGTGCCATACACGGGACTCAAAATGTACACGTGAGACGTACGAATTGAGGAAAACCATCAAGGCTTTTCCACGCGCCATTCGAGATCGTCGCGGAACCGCCGTCTCAAAAGTCTCCATTACACGTTCCAATTATTTCCTCGAGAGAAAGAGAGAGAGAGAGAGAGAAAAGTGTTCTGTTCGAGCGTGGGCAGGAAATGCATTGTTCCTCATTGCAATGACCGCGAAGATGCAGCTACTCAGCTTAAACTTCTTGCTGTATACCATCAGCGGCATATGGCGGCCGATCGAGTGGTCCTCGATCGGTTCCACGCTGCTGTACAGCGCGTACACCGTCCTTATAATATACCTGATGACCTTCCTGATAACGACTCAGTTGCTGGACATCATCCTCATCGTTGACAACGTGGAGGACTTCACCGCCAACTCCCTGCTCTTTATCTCGGTGATAAGCGCGTTCAGCAAGATGTTCACTCCCTTGATACGTCGCGGCCGCATTATCGATCTGATCGAGACACTCCAACGGCCGCCGTGCAGGGTCTGCGACCAGGAGGAAGTGGAGATTCAAGCGAAGTTCGATCGTTCGATCAGGTTGGTATGTCGTTGTCCCGGTCGTCCGACGTGCTCTCCTTCTCTCTCTTCCTTTTTCTCTCTCTTTCGCTTCGAGTATGAAAATCGGTGTTTGGGACTGTACGCAGATCGCGCTCCCTATATTACTTGTTTCTCGCGACGAGTTCCGCCACCGGGGCCCTCGCAGGAGCGATGCTCGCCATCCTGAAAGGGCAATTGCCCTTGAGAGTGTGGGTGCCTTACGATTACAGCACATCCCTCTTATTCTGGCTCACGTCCGTTCAATTGCTGTTATCCGTGAGCTTCGGCACGATCATCAACATTTCCACGGAGACCTTGGTTTACGGATTGTGCCTGCAAACGTGCGCGCAACTCGAGATCCTGACGCACCGTCTCCAAAGGGTGGCGCTCTCGAGCCCGGGAGCTCGCGAGAGCGACACGTCGCCGAAAAGAGCGAGCAGACTGTCGGAGCATGTCTGTCATCACCTGTGCATAATCAGGTTTGTCAAGGCGGATGGTGAAATTACTCGCGAGCACGTATCTCCGTGCTGAATCCGAGCTGAGTTACGTTCGATGCGACCCGAGTAGAAATCAAACCAGTTTCTAGCCAGTAAATCTCTAACCAGCTGGTTTCCGATCGGTTTTATTGGACACAAATTTACAGTTTGGGAGACACCTGCTTTTGCTTCGGCGATAACTGGATAATAAAACTAACCGGTTTCTGACTAGTCCCTCATAAAATTTTGAGCATTTTATTTGTTCATTATTGCGCGTAGTTTCTGGCCAGGAAATGGCGGAGAAACACTAACCAGAACTTTATATCGATGTGCTTACGATTGCATCGATTTGAAATTTAAACACGACGGTCATGAGTCTCGAACTGAGGCGCGAATGTTTATAGGTATGCCGAGCAGGTAAACGAAATATACAGCCAGGTGTTCTTTACCCAATTTTTCGCCAGTATACTGGTGTTGTGTTCGAGCGTGTACTATCTGTCTTCTCATCTGACACTCGAAGACATAGCGACCATGGGTACTTACACATTCTGTATGTTCGTGCAGATTTTCGTTTATTGCTGGGCCGGGAACGAAGTTATACTTAAGGTAGGACCTCGACGGTCTGTTGGTTAACGACTAAGGTAGTTGGTCCGTCAAATCACTTTCCGAAGAATCCCTTGAAATTTTAGCCGAATACTGATGGAAACACTATTTACATGTCTGTAAAGTCAGGAAACGATTGACCATTCGCGATCTGAGATATTCGCAACTAAAAATGACATTATACGTATTCCTTAAAGTTAGTTAAAGTGTCCTATTTTCAACTTCTGTTTTAAATTTCTTCCAAACCACAATTTGTATATCACTTATAAAAATATTATATATCATCGAATATTTAACTTACGACATGGTGTATATTTATCTTTATCTCGCGGTCAAAATTAACAATTCTTACTTAGATAGTTAAATAAAGTTATAGGAAAGTATGTTCTTTCAGTAGATAATAAATTTATGAAGAGGCCCTTTTAATATCGCCATTAAAAACCGCCACTCTACAGACCAACCACCTTAACGGAACAGCCGTTTGAACCTAAAGCTCTAATCGGTTTTATTTGCGCAGAGTACGAATCTGAGCGACGCGATATACGAAATGGAGTGGATATTGATGACGATCAGCGAACGGAAGGACCTACTGATGATCATGAAGCGCTGCACGAAACCCATCAGGTTTTCCAGCAGCTTTCTGGTAATGCTATCCCTGAGATCGTACGGCAAAGTCAGTATTAAAATCATCAGCCCCCCGCAACTGACGCTTTCTTCGATCTCTTCGATTAACCCCGCTTATTTTCTGCCCTTTGCAGCTACTGAAGGCATCTTACTCTGCGTTTAACGTTTTACAGTAATCATGAAATCGTTCGAAACATCGTAACACACCATTGTACACGGTAATTCGTAATGAATAAATCATTTGTCACGTACAAATTCAGCATTCTTGGCTCAGCTTCGCATCCGACATTTTCCAAAAATTCGCGATCAGTATTCATAAGAATAATACGTTAACGGAAGAAAGAGATAAATATAGGATTCTTACGGTATGGATGAAGCATCCAAAACTCAATGCAGTTTGAACAACTGAGTTGTTGTTTTAAGAATTTGTCGAAACTTGGATTATATTAAGAGTATAATTAAGTTTCCCGCCGTTTGACAAGAAGACACCACCACGGACACTTCCTTTCTACGGAAAGTCCAATTATATGTGTATACGGTTTATGCGTATTATATCTTCCTTCCTGCATATAACGTTGATCGATAAGAATCGTATTTTGTGGGGTCGCCGCACGAACGAATATATTTTTTATTCGTTGGGAATGCAACAATATGTTCGAATTCAGGGAAGAGTGTCATTTAACCGTCGCTGGTAAATCGCAGCCTTTGTATAATTACAGTAGTCAGTAGTAAGGAACGGTAAGAAAATAATAAAGAAATAACGAGAAAAAGAAAGAAATAGTAACATGCGCCGCAACAAGCTGTAATAAACGACTCCGCGTCATAAATGAATTAATGATGTGGGGTTGCAAGGCAGTTGCAAACCCGCGGCAGTATGCGTTTCTATTTCGCCACAATAGTGACTTACCGCATATCGATCTGAACTTAATTATCTACAAGAAGTGAAACGACTTACATTCACGTTAACACTCATCATTCCTTCGTTGTACCCTTAAATCAAGCAGAAAAAAGCGCGATATCTTAAATAGAGAAGAAATATTCGCGTGTTAAATTCAATCTAGATAAGTGTGTATTTTATCCGTGCTTTCTGGCACGTTAAGCGTAAAGTTAATAACGACACTGAATAAAACTAAGAAAGATCGCACTCGATCAATTCAATTGGTGGTAATAAAAATGCACATGACTCTCAATTTGATTGGATGAAGACTCTTCGGTCACGAAACAGGCGCGTCCACATTCACCGCTAAATGCAAAACGCGAGCATCTCCCGTAGTGGAATTTGTTTACTCGTGAAACATTTCGACCAGTGATCGGAGATCGAGGTGAAGAACGAAGATGCAGTTACTTTCATTGAATCTTCTTATATACAGCCTGAGTGGTATATGGCGGCCCGTCGAATGGTCGTCGAGCTGCGCTAAAATGTTATACAATGCGTTCACCGTCTACACGATAGTCTCATTGTACTTTCTCATGTTGACACAATTCATGGATATCCTTCTTATCGTTGATAACGTAGATGATTTCACCAATAATTCTCTGATATTCGTGAGTATTATTACCGTTTGCTGCAAGTCGACGATCATCGTATTACGTCGGAACGCGATCATCGATTTGGTGGAGATGTTGCTGAGAGATCCGTACAAGCCTCGCAATGAGGATGAACTGGCCATACAAGCGACATTCGACAAATTTATTCGGTAGGTACGCGTGACTAATTTTTATGTAATTATTAACACGTTGAGAAGTACCGTTTCTGTACCGTAAGATGAGGTAACTTTAACGGATATTTTAAGTTTCTTCGATTTCTTAAAGATCTCTCAAAGATCTCTCTCTCTCTCTCTCTCTCTCAAAGATTCTTATCAAAGATGTAATCCAAGTTTTAATAAAATTATTGGAAATGTGGAACAATGTTATCAAATCTCTCTTTTATTCACGGTTTGTAAGTGAGAAGTGCTTATGAAATATAATATCGGGTTTATTATATTTACAGATCATGCTCGATAATGTATTTGCTCTTGACGATAACATCAGTAACGACCGGTTCGTTGAGATCGCTGTCGAACATCATAGAGGGTCGTTTACCTTACAGAGTGTGGCTGCCTTACGACTGGAATAAATCCCCGATGTTCCTGATCACATCGATCTATCAGCTAATCACTATATTCCTAGCGGGCCTCATCAACGTCGGCACAGAAACTGTAGTATTCGGATTTATTCTGCAAACGTGCGCCCAGCTGGACATTCTCAAGAGTCGTCTGAACAAATCGGTGATTAAAAGAATTGCCGGCTACCAAAAGAATCGTCCGCGTTCCGGGACAAGTGGGAAACAAGCAACAATTTCGGAACTCATACTTTATCATCTCAGCATTTACACGTCAGTCACAAGTGATACGCAAAAAAAAAAATAATACTTCAACAGCACCAGTATAATTAGAATGAATCTTCCTAATTTAACAGCAGTACTATTGAAATTAATACTCGAGTTATTATAACAATAGTATGAGGTTAATTTCACTATACTGCTTTCGAATCAAGAAGATTCATTCCGTTTAAGCTGGCGTTGCTGACATAACATTACATATTTCCGTATACATCCGTTCCTCCGTGTTGTCGAGCAATTTTATTCAATACCGAACTATTGCATTCAGTGTGCATTACAGATATGCAAATGAGGTGAACTGTGTATTCAACCAAATACTCTTCGTCCAATTTTTCGGCAGTATATTGGTGTTGTGTACGAGCGTATATTATGTGTCGCTGCATATCGGAGAAACAGAGGCGGCAGGTATTCTGGCATATACCGTTGCCATGTTCGTGCAGATCTTCGTCTATTGCTGGTCTGGAAACGAGGTTATTCTAAAGGTGCAATGGCTGCATTTGCATTTTTACAATTTACATTTCACAGTCTGTTACGATAAGTGGTCATTTCATCACCAACCGTCTCTGCCTCGTCAGACAGTTACAATCTTTCTGTTCACATTTCGTTCCGTTCAGAGCGCGAGCTTAGCGGACGCCGTGTATCACGTAGAGTGGTCTTCACTGTCGATCAGAGAACGCAAAGATCTGCTGATAATCATGATGCGCAGCGCGGTTCCTATTAAGTTCACCAGCAGCTTCTTGATAACTATGTCCCTTGAATCTTACAACAACGTTAGTACCGATTTATACTCGAACATTACTCCGCGGCACGGCTGTTTCTTTTGGGATTTAATATATAATCTTTCATGTACTAATTTCTTGTACAGATTCTGAAGACGTCATATTCAGCATTCAATGTACTACAATCCTAAGAGGTTTATTGAATATTCATTCGCCTCTCGTATTTTGGATAACCAATTGACAGATCATTTATATAGAATTGTTAAGGGTTTGTAAAAGTTCCTTGGATCATTGGTGAGTTCAACAGCTTAAAAAATGAGTCAGATAAAGAAGACTGGAAAGAATGACGAAAGAAAGATGAGTTTACAAGATCAGACAATTATTTAAATAGTGGAGAAAAATAGATAACAGATATATTAATAGAACGTGGATTTGTGTACTGTCTCATTATTATTAATAAAACTAGTAAAAAAAAATTATCACCAAAAGTTCAATAAACTTTTTTAAGCTCGTGATTTAACCTGCTTTTCTTATATAGTAACTAACAGGGTAATCAGTGATATTAAAACGACGGAAAAATATAAGCATCTAAACAAGAAAGAATAAATGAAAGAAAAGTATAGTTTTTAATACATAAAATATGTGCAAAATATACAATGTGTATATATATTTTATAATTAAATTCTACAACACAGAGTAACAGAAGAAAGAGAAAATTATGGAATTCGATGCGCAATTCGTCCAAATTTCTCAATGCAAATTAAATATTTAAGACTCACTTTATAAAGTAGTAATTTTTATTTAAAATTGCAAATTCAACAGAAGTAATACAATGAATACTATTAATACAATTGATACTGATTGATATAGTTAACGTAATTTAAAACGCGAAAAAAGCGGGAACGGTTAACTGAAGTTTCGTAGATATATTTTTTTTCTGACTTCTTGTGAGAAACATATTTTACAGTTGAAATTGTTATCAAAATAAACAGAAATATCAATTTTTTAGTATATGTGAAAAATGTGCTACAGACGTTAGGCTAGCCGCACTTGGAAACGTCACCACTGGCGTTCCACGGCTTCTATTGAAAATCTAATTGTGCATGTGTCCAGTTTACACATACATACATTATATCTCTTTTTATTTATATCTCTTCTCCATTAGTCAATAAGAGTAATTTGTGGGATATACAGGTTTACAGTAAACCGCTGTACGATGATACACGAACGAATAAATCTTTTATTCGCTGAGAATGCGACAATATGAATTCAGGGGACAGCGTCCCTTAACCGCCGTTGGAAAGTCGCAGATTTTGTGTAATTATAGTAGCTCCATAAGGAGTGGTAAGAAAATAATAAAGGGGAAACGACAAGGAGAAAATAGTAACGCGTGCAACGATAACCTGTAAGAAGCGACTCCGCGTCATTAATGAATTAATGACATAGGGTTACGAAGTTGAGACGGTTGCAAACCCGCGGCAATATGTACCAGTAGTTCGCTAGACGATTCGTGACTTGCTACATATCGATCTGAACTTAATTATTTACGTGATAGTGAAACAACTAGCATTCATGTTAATACTTATCACTCCTCCGTTATGACTTTAAATCAAAGTGCAAGAAGCAAAATATTTTAGAAAAGAAAAAAATCCGTGTTTTAAATTTAATCAATATATATGTATTTTATTCGTGCTTTTTGCGTAATGTTAACATTGATATTGAATAAAACTAAGTATAATCGCATTCGATGTTCAATCGGTGATAAAGATGTACACGATTCTCGAGTTGTTTGAATGAAACTCTCCCGTCACAGGATAGACACATCCTCATTCGCTGATAAATGCAAAATGCGAATATCTTTCGTGGAATTTATCTAATCGAATGAAACGTTTCGACCAGTGATAACGAAGATGCAGTTACTTTCATTGAATTTTCTTATATACAGCGTGAGTGGTATATGGCGGCCGGTCGAGTGGTCGTCGAGCTGCGCTAAGTTGTTGTACAATGCGTTCACTATCTACACGATACTCTCGTTGTACCTTTTCACGCTGACACAATTCATGGATATCCTTCTTATCGTTGATAACGTAGACGATTTCAGTAATAATTCTCTAATGTTCGTGAGTTGTATTACCGTTTGTTGCAAGTCGACGATCATCGTATTACGTCGGAACGCGATCATCGATTTGGTGGAGATGTTGCTGAGAGATCCGTATAAACCTTGCAATGAGGATGAATTAGCCATACAAGCGACATTCGACAAATTTATTCGGTAGGTACGCGTGAGTAATTTTTATGTAATAATTAATATAATTTGTACAGTCAATAGAAAGCTAATAAAACGAGATAAGAACTATATATGAGATCGTATCGAATTAGATTTGTTTAATGTATTATTAATAATCTAATTATCAGTTAAGTTTTTGTACAATCAAAGAGCATGAACGGCACACAAATCGACGTGTTAAATGTCGTTACGTGTTTCTGTATATATCGAGACCCGAATTATATAGTTTTTCTCATTTGTTTATGGTTTGTAAGTGAGAAGTGTTTATGAAATGTAATATCGGGTTTAATATATTTACAGGTTATGCTCGATAAAATATTTGCTTTTGGCAGAAATGTCAGTAATAGGCGCTGCGTTCAGAGCGCTACTGAACGCCACAGAGGGTCATTTACCTTACAGAGCGTGGCTGCCTTACGATTGGAATAAATCTCCGATGTTTCTGGTCACGATAATGTATCAGCTCATCGCTATATTCTTAGGCGCTCTCGTCAACGTTGGCACAGAAACTATGATATTCGGCCTTATTTTGCAAACGTGTGCCCAGTTAGACATTCTCAAGAGTCGTCTCAATAAATCCGTGATTAAAACAATTACTGGCTACCAAGAGAAGCGCTCGCTTTCCCGGACAAGTAAGAAACGAGTAACAATTTCGGAACTCATACGTCATCATCTCAGCATTTACAGGTCAGTCAAAAGTGATACACAAAAAAATAATATAACAGTACCGATATAATTAGAATGAATATTCCTGATTTAGCAATAGTAGTATCATGGAAATTAATACTTGAGTTATTATAAGAATAATATGATGTTAGTTTTACTATCGCTATTGAATGAAGAACATTCATTCCGAGAGCGGTGCTATTGATATAACATTATGTTTTTACCGTATATACCCATTATGTCCTCGAAAAATTCCAACCAATATCGAATTATTGTATTCAATGTGCATTACAGATATGCGAATAAAGTGAACAGTGTATTCAATCAAGTGCTCTTTGTACAATTTTTCGGCAGTATAATTGTGTTGTGTACAAGTGTATATTATGTGGTGTTACATATCAGGGATAAAGAGGCTCCAGGTATTTTAGCGTTCAACGTTTGCATGTTCGTGCAGATCTTCGTTTATTGCTGGTCCGGAAACGAGGTTATTTTGAAGGTGCCGTTGCTGCATTTGCATTTTTACAATTTGCATTTCACATTCCCTCACGACAAGTAATCATTTCATCCCCAACTGACTTTGTCAGACAGTTGCTCTCTTTCTGTTCATGTTTCGTTTCGTTCAGAGCGCAAGCTTAGCGGACGCTGTGTATAATGTAGACTGGTCTTCACTGTCGATCAGAGAACGCAAAGATCTGCTGATGATCATGATGCGCAGCACGGTTCCTATTAAGTTCACCAGCAGCTTCTTGATAACTTTGTCTCTCGAATCTTACAGCAACGTTAGTACCGACATATACTAAAATATTATTTGGCGGCACGTCTGTTTATCTTAGGATTTAACATATAATCCTTCATGTACTAATTTCTCCTACAGATTCTGAAAACGTCATATTCGGCATTCAGTGTACTTCAGTCCTGAGATGTTTACTAAATATTCATTCGCCTCTCGTACTTTAAATAACAAAGTGACGGATTATTTATTAAGGGTTTGCAACAGTTCTTTGGATGGTGGGTAATTTCAACGGCTCAAAAAATGAGTGAGAAAAAGAAGATTGAAAAGTATGGCGTAAAAAGATGAGTTTACAAAATTAGGCATTTATCTGAAAAGTGTAAAAAAGTTATGTATGAGAGATGTATTAATAGGAAGTGGATATGTTTACGGTTCCGTATTCAGTAAAGATAACACAACGAATATAGTTAATATAGTAAATACAATTTAAAACGTGAGAAAAACGGGAACAGCTAACTAAAGTTTCGTTGATGTATATTTCTTTTCTGACTTTTTGTGTAAACAAAATTTTTAATATTTGATGTTGTTACAACATCAAACAGAAATATCGCTTTCCACTGTATGTAAAAAATGTGCTATTAACATTAGGCTGGCACTTACAACAGTTAGCAATAAAATATCACCAGGGCGTCTCACGGCTTCTATAGAAAATCCAATTGTATCCGGCATATATTATATTATATTTCTCTTCCACTAGTCAATAAGAGTCGTACTTTGTGAAATGTACAATCTTACATTACTGCACGATGATACGCGGACGAATAAATTTTTTATTCGCTGAGATTGCGACAATATGTTCGAATTCAAGAAATAGCGTTCTTTAACCGCCGCTGGAAAGTCGCGAACTTTGCATAATTATAGTAGTCGCGTAAGGAATGGTAATATAATAATAATAAAAGGAACGACAAGGAGAAAATATGTCCAGCTATAAACTGTAATAAACGATTCCGCGTCATTAATGAATCAAAGACATGGGGTTACGAAGTTGAGGGGCTTGTAAACCCGCAGCAATATATACCAGTAGTTCGCTACGATACGTACCTTGCTACATATTGATCTGAACTTAATTCTACAATAAGAAAAAGTAGAATATTTTAGAAAAAATATTTGCGACTTAAATTTAATCTAGATTTGTGTATTTCATCCGAGCTTTTTACCACATTACGCGTCAAGTTAATATTGACACTGAACAAAACCAAGGAAGATCGCACCCCATATTCAATTGGTGATAAAGATTCTCGATTTGATTTAATGAGACTCTTTCGCCATAATACAGACACATTCGCTACTGAATGCAAAACGCGAATATCATTCGTGAAATTTATCTGATCGTGAAACATTTCGACCAGAGATTACGAAGATGCAGTTATTTTCATTCAATTTTCTTTTATACACTATGTGTGGTATATGGCGGCCCGTCGAGTGGTCGTCAAGCTGCGCTAAGTTATTGTATAATGCCTTCACTGTTTACACGATAGTCTCGTTGTACGTTTTCACGCTGACACAATTCATGGATATCCTTCTTATCGTTGACAACGTTGATGATTTCAGTAATAATTCTCTAATGTTCGTGACTTTTATTACTGTTTGTTGCAAATCTACGATCGTTATATTACGCCGAAACTCAATCATCGACTTGGTGGAGATGTTGCTGAGAGACCCGTATAAACCTCGCAATAAGGATGAATTGGCTATACAAACGACATTCGACAAATTTATTCGGTAAGTATGCGCGAATAATTTTATGTAATAATTAACTTTGTCCCAAGTGCAATATCCAAGATAGCGTAATGATGTCTGTATATATCCAGTCATTAGAGAATTATAGATTTTCTCTTTTGTTTACGATTTGTAAGTGAGAAGTATTTATGAAACATTGACATGAACATTGAATTTATTATATTTATAGATTATGCTCGATAAAATATTTGCTTTTGGCAACATTGTCACTATTGGGAGGTATGTTCCGAGCGCTAAAGGGCACCGCAGAGGGTAATTTACCCTTTAGAGTGTGGCTGCCTTACGATTGGAATAAATCACCGATGTTTCTAATCACGATAATCCATCAGCTGATCACTGTGCTCTTAGGCACTCTCGTCAACGTCGGTACAGAAACTGTGGTATTCGGTCTTATCTTGCAAACGAGCGCCCAGTTAGACATTTTCAAGTGTCGTATTAACGAATCGCTGATTAAAAAAATGTCTGGTTACCAAGAGGATTGTCTGCTTTCCCGGACAAATAAAAAACAAGCAACAATTTCGAAATTCATACGTCATCATCTCAGCATTTACACGTCAGTCACAAATGATACACAAAAAAAAAATCATCAACAGCCAGTATAATCGGAATGAATCTTCCTGACTTAACAATAATACTATTGAAAATAAAGTATTAATACTTGAATTATTATAGCAATAGTATGACGTTAGTTTTACCACTGCCATTGGATCAAGAATATTCATTCCGAAACTGGTGCTGTTGATATAACATTACGTCTTTCCGAATACATCCGTTCTTCCACGCCACGTTCCCCAGAAATTTCATTTTACATCGAATTATTGTATTCGATGTGGATTACAGATATGCAAATAAGGTAAATAGTGTATTCAACCAAGTGCTCTTCGTTCAATTTTTCGGCAGTATATTGGTGTTGTGTACTTGCGTATATTATGTGTCGATGCATATCGGGGAGACAGAGGCTACGGGTATTCTGGCGTACACCATTTGCATGTTCGTACAGATCTTCGTTTATTGCTGGTCCGGAAATGAGGTTACTTTGAAGGTGCAATTTGTTGCATGTGCATTTTTACATTTTGCGTTTCACATTCCGCTATAATAAGCGATCATTTCACCGCCAAATGATTCCGCCTCATCAGACAGTACTGTCTTTCCGTTCGTGTTTCGTTTCATTCAGAGCACGAGCTTAGCAGACGCGGTGTATGAAGTAGACTGGTCTTCATTGTCGATCAGAGAACGCAAAGATCTGCTGATGATCATGATGCGCAGCACGGTCCCTATAAAATTCACCAGCAGCTTCTTGATAACTTTGTCTCTCGAATCTTACAGCAACGTTAGTACCGACATATATTAAAATATTATTTGGCGGCACGTCTGTATATCTTTGGATTTAACATATAATCCTTCATGTACTAATTTCTCCTACAGATTCTGAAAACGTCATATTCGGCATTCAGTGTACTCCAGTCCTGAGATGTTTACTAAATATTCATTCGCCTCTCATACTTTAAATAACAAAGTGACGGATTATTTATTAAGGGTTTGCAACAATTCTTTGGATGGTGGGTAATTTCAACGGCTCAAAAAATGAGTGAGAAAAAGAAGATTGAAAAATATGACGAAAAATATATGAGTTTGCAAAATCGGACAATTGTTTAAAAGGTAGCAAAAAGTGATAGATGACAGATATATTGATAGGACGTAGATTTGTGTACTATTTTGTTACTGCTAATAAAAAAATTATCGCTAAAATGTCAATAACTTTTTGTGAGCTCACGATAGATTTAGAATGAAAATTACTTTTTTTTTTTAATACATAAAATATTTACAAAATATGCTGTGTGTACCCGAAATGATTATTTTCATATTTGGTAGTTACACTTGGCAACGAAACATCAGCACGGGCGTCTCACGGCTTTTACGGATGTTTTCATTGTGTATATAGTCAGCTCATGCATATTATATCTCTCTTTCCTTAGTCAATAACAGTCATATTTTGTGGGGTATACAATCCTACAATCAGCCGCTGTACGCTGATACGTGAATAAATAAATCTTTCATTCGCTGGAAATGTGACAATATGTTCGAGTTCCGGAGACAGCTGTCCTTTAATCGTCCCTCGTAAGCCACGGTCATAGTATCATTACCGTAGTCGCAAAAGGAACGGTAAAAAAATAATAAAGAAATAATGAGAAGCAGAAAATAATAACATGTACCGCGACAAGGGACTTCGCTTCATTAATAGATTAATGACACGGAGTTACGAGGTCGAAGTGTTTCCAATCTCGCAACAGTACGTACATATAGTTCGTTATGATACTTGCTACATTTTTTATCCGAACTTAATTATCTACGCGATAGTGAAACGACTTGCGTGCACGTTAGCGTTTATCGCTCTTCTCTCTGGTATCTTTAAATCAAAACATAAGAAGCGATGTCTTGGGAGAGGAAAAATTTGCGCTGGTTAAATTCAGTTCGGACTTTACTCGTGCTTACTACATTACGTGTAAAATAACATATTGACGTTGAATAAAATTAAAGAAAATCGCACTCGATATAAAGTCGCTTATAAAGATGTACACGAGATCCTCGATTGGCATGAATGACATTCTCTCCGCTGCTTAATGTGAAACACGAATACTCTCCCGTGCTTATTTAGCTGCTTGTAAAACTTCTCCACCAAACGTTCAAACGCAATAACGAAAATGCAGATACTTTCATTCAACTTTCTCATGTATACTCTGGGCGGTGTGTGGCGACCCGTCGAGTGGTCGTCGAGCTTTGCTAAATTATTATATAATGCGTTCACCGTATACACGATAGTCTCGTTGTACATATTCGTATTGGCCCAATTCGTAGATATTGTTCTTATCATCAATAACATGGATGATTTCATGAATAGTTCTTTGCTATTTGTGAGCGTTATTGCTGTTTGTTGCAAAGCCACAATAATCGTGTTACGTCGAAACTCGATCATCGATTTGATGGAAATGTTGCTGAGGGACCCTTACAGGCCTCGGGATGAGAACGAACTGGCCATACAAGCGAGATTCGACGAATTTATCCAGTAGGTACGCGCAATTTATTTCTATAGAATAATTGACACATCAAACTATATTGATTGATATATTAATAATAATTTAATTACCGTTTAAACTTTGTATAGTTCAACGACAGTGAACGCCGAAAAATACGTCTGAAATTTTGTTATGCGTTAGTCTATATATATCGAGTGATTTACGATTTTTCTCTTTTGTTTCCTATTTTTGAGAAGTATTTATGAAACATAACATCGAATTTATTGTTGCATTATTTATAGATCATGCTCGATAAAATATTCGCTTTTGGTGACAATCTCAATGACGACCAGCACGTTGAGATCGCTTCTGAACGTCGTAGATGGTCATTTACCTCATAGAGCGTGGCTGCCTTACGATTTGAATAAATCCCGGATGTTTCTGATCACGACGATCCATCAGATCGTCACTATATTCTTAGGCGCTCTAATCAACATCGGCACAGAAACTGCAGTGTTCGGTCTTATTTTGCAAACCTGTGCCCAACTGGATATTCTCAAGAGCCGTCTCAATAAATCGGTGATTACAAATATGACCGGCTATCAAGAGGATCGCTTGTTTTCACCGACAAGTAGGAGACAAGCACCAATTTCGGATCTCATACGTCATCATCTTAGCATTTACATGTCAGTCACGTGTGAAACACAGAAAAAATAATATGTCAACAGGACCAGTATAATTGGCATAAATCTTCCTGATTTAAAAGCAGTACTATTGAAATTAATACTTGATTAATACTAACAATAGTATGACGTTAGTTTCACCATACTACTATCGAATCAAGACAATTCATTCCGATTATACTGCTGCTGTTGAAATAACATTACATTTTTACCGTGTACATCCGTTCTCCCACCATGTTCTCGAGAAATTTCATCCAGTATTGAATTGTTGTATTCGGTGTGCATTACAGATATGCAAATAAGGTGAACAGTGTATTCAGCCAGATACTCTTCGTCCAATTTTTCGTCAGTATATTGGCGCTGTGTACGAGCGTGTATTATGTGTCAACGCATATCGGGGAGACAGAGGCTGCGGGTATTCTGGCGTACACCATTTCCATGTTCGTGCAGATCTTCGTTTATTGCTGGTCGGGAAATGAGGTTACTTTGAAGGTGCAATTTGTTGCATTTGCATTTTTACAATTTGCGTTTCACATTCCGTTACAATAAATGATCATTTCACCACCAAACGGTCCTACCTCGTCGGAGTGTTACATTCTTTCTGTTCATGTTCCGTTTCGTTTAGAGCGCGAGCTTAGTCGACGCCGTGTATCACATAGACTGGTCTTCACTATCGATCGGCGCACGCAAAGATTTGTTGATGATCATGATACGCAGCGCAGTTCCTATAAAGTTCACCAGCAGCTACTTGATAACCATGTCTCTTGAATCTTACGGCAACGTTAGTATCGACTTATATTCGAATGCTACTCCGCAGCGAAGCTGTTTCTCTTGGGTCGCAGCATACAATTTTTCATGCATTAATTTTTCTTACAGATTCTGAAAATGTCATATTCGGCGTTTAGTGTACTACAATCTTGAGATGTTTACTAAATATTCATTCACCTCTCGTATTTTAAATGGCAAGTCGACGGACTATTTGTTGAAGGCTTACTAAAGTTTATTGGATCGTCGCGATTTCAACAGTTTAAAAATAAGTCAGAAAGAGAAGATTGGAAAGAATGACGAAAAATAGATGAATTTGCAAAATCTGGCAATTATCTAAAAGATAGCTAAAAGAAGTAAGTAGATGATATATATTGATAGTATATGACATATATGTACTTTTTCGTTACTATTAAAAAAATAGTTATCGCTTAAATTCAATAAACTTTTGTAAGTCTATGACACGTTTAGACTGAAAATTGCTTTTCTCATGTGATAACTGATTATAAGATATTGATAGGTTATATTAAAGCAGCGAGAAAATGTAAGCAAATAAACAAGAGAATGTAAAGAAAGAGATTACAGTTTTTAATACGCAAATTTATATGTTTAGATTGAAAATTTGCCTTTTCTATATAGTAACTGATTACAAGATCATCGACGATTAACAGAAATATTACGTCAAAAATGAACACAAAATTAACACATCAACCGACACTAAAAATGTATTATTATTATTTGAACATTTAAATATATTGAACATCAACACAACATAATATATTGAGATAACACAAACACAACATGTTAAATTAATATACAGCTATGTTGGAAATCTAACCCAAATATTTTAGCAAGGACTGATTTTAACATAAGTACATTTTCTTTTCCGTGAGAGGGAAGACTGATGTTTTTCTCATAATTAATTCGTAATTCGTAATTTCTTGGTAATTAAGTCGGCGTAAGAACAGAGATATCGTTTTGTGCAGAACATGCTATGCACGTTACGATTATCGCTTGGCGTGTTTGGCAAGAAGATATTAGCTAGGGACGATCCGCTTCTGCAGCAAATACAATTATGTGTATGTCCATCTTGCACATATTATCTCCCTTGCTTACCGCATAGCATATTATTAATTGCAATAAGAATACTCAGTGAGATACATAATGTCGTAGACGAGCCGCTGCGCGAGCCAACATAAACAAATGAACATTTATTCGCTGGGAATGCGACAATATGTTCGAATCGTAAGGGACAGCGTTCCTTAATCGCTGGTACGTTCCAGCCGTCGCATAATTGCGGTAGCTGTCTGGTAAAAAACGGTGAGAATATAAAGGAGAAATGACTAGAGAGGAAAGTAACGTGTATTGCGTAAGCTATAATAAACGACTCCCCGAGACGTCATTAATGAATTAAGGATATGTAATTACCAGTTTGAAAGTAGGTATAACTGTGCGGTAATACGCATTTCGTGATACTTTGCAACACGCGATCCGTTGTACTTCAGTTCAAACTTATTTGTCGAATTTACGACAGTGAAACAGCACGCGCTTGTGTCAGCACTAAGCTGCTACGTTGTTGTGCCATTAAGTCGAGTTGCAGGATGCAATATCTTAAGTGCGAGAAATGGGTGCTCGGAAAATTTTAGTCTAGACGTGCTTTATTCGTGCTTGCCGCATCACGAGTAAAGTTAATATTAATATTGAATAAAACTATGAAATATCTTGTTCGATATTTGATCGGGGGACAAATATGTACGTGATTCTCGGATCGGATCTGAAGTGAAGGACTCTCTCGTCGCGAGACAGTCACGCCACGTCCACGTCCATCGTACTTGTAAATGTGAAAAGCGAATGTCGCTCGTGGAAATTAACCGTTCGTGATACGTTTCGTTTTAATATGGGGACGAAGATGCGGATATTTTCATTCAATTTTCTCATGTATACTGTGGGCGGTGTGTGGCGGCCCGTCGAGTGGTCGTCGAGCTGCGCTAAGCTATTGTACAACGCGTTAATCGTCTGCGTAATCGTCGCGTTGTATTTAATGGTGCTAACCCAATTCCTGGATATGCTCCTTGTCGTCGATAACATAGACGATTTCACCAATAATTCCCTAATGTTTGTGAGTATTATTAGCGTTTGTTGCAAAGCCACGATCGCGGTGATACGTCGAGATAGGATCATCGGTCTCGTGCAAACGTTGTTGCGGGAGCCGTATAAGCCTCGTAATGAGGATGAACTGACCATACAAGCGACATTCGACAGATTTATTCGGTAGGTAACTAACCCATGAGACTAATGTCTGTGTGATAATTAACACGTTGAGCGCTGCCATTGACAGTCATCGGCACTAAGATACTATCGCATCTTATCAACCCGGATCTATATATCGATGAAAAATCCGGTCGAATTAATTCGGAAGTCAATGTTCGATTTGATATTTCTAAGGCTTTATCACGATATCTAAAAATTAATATGTAGAATTCGACAATTTATTTGTTATCCAATTTATATCATATCTACGTCAAGTTGATGTATGAATATAATGGTTTGACTTGGATATGATATCGACTTAGTATCGATCAGATCGTCAATAATAGGTCGATACTTACATGATATCTTCTAAATATCATGTAGACCCGGTTTTTCATTTTCCGGTTAACTTGTAGTTTACATAATTTATGCGAAAAATGACTATAATTTTATCAATATTAACCACTATTTAATTCAAGTGTATACATAATTACATTTAAAAAATATAATTTGTGTTATACGGCATATAAAGAGCTAATAAAACGAGATTAGAGCTATATATTTGCGTGTATAGAATTATATTTTTTTAGAATATTAGGAATTTAATGATCGCCGCAATCGACTTGTTAAATTTCTTTACGTGTTTCTGCACATATTAAGACACCAGCGAATTACAGTTTTTTTTCTTTTGTTCACGATTTGTCGCTGTAAAGTATTTATAATTCCGAGTTTATTGTATTCGCAGGTCATATTCGATAAAGTACGCGCTTTTGGCAGGATGTTCCGTAACGAGCGTCACGTACAGATCGGTGATGAATGTCATAGAGGGTCATTTACCGTATAGAGTATGGCTGCCTTACGATTCGAATGGATCCCCGATGTTTCTAATCACATCGATCCATCAGATCGTCACAGTGATTTTCGCCACGTTCATCAACATCGGCACGGAAACCTTAGTGTTCGGTCTCATTTTACAAACGTGCGCCCAGTTGGACATTCTCAAGAACCGTCTTAACAAATCGATAATTAATAGAATAGGCGCCAACTCGCAGAATCAGTCGTTTTTGCTACTAAATAGGAAACAGGCAACAATTTCGGAACACATACGTCATCACCTTCATATTTACACGTTAGTCACATGTGCTATAGAGAAAAAATAAATAAATTATGTATCAACAACACTAATCTAATTGGAATGGATCTTCTTGATTTAAGAAAGAATAATGTATTCGTTGCACTGCTACTTAACACGTTGAGCGCGGCGCCGATTTTGCTATCCTTCCCCTCAGGCGGCAGCGAGCGAGCACTTGATGCCGAGCGCTCAAGAGGGTTTTGGGATAGACAGTATGAACAGAAGATTACTTTGTTTCACTTTACTGTGGGATGGTGCAGCCAATGCATAAGTATACAAATTATAAACAGAAGATAATGGGAAGGCGAACGGCGAGAAGGTGACCTCCAAGAGACGATCAGTTAGAAAAATCCACGGAAGAGTAAAGATCTGTTTGAGCAGAGAGAATTTGGTTTCCACAGTGACTATTTTCAAAAAGTTTTTTTGCCAAGAATGCCAAAAGTATTGAGAAGACAAGTAGATAGCGATTCATCGAGTGAGAAAAGTCGACCGTCGAAAAGACCACTGTCAGTCCCCAGGGACCGACGCCGCCTGAACGGAAAGTTCACTGTCAGTCCCGAGGGAATGACGTCGCATTCAACGTGTTAAAAAAAAAAGTAATACGCTGCGCGAAAATTCAAAAACCGATTCCAAAATAGATTCCGCGGTTCTCACCGGAACGTGACAAGCTGGGGTTGATATAACATGTTTTTCCGCCGCAAGAAATTATATCCGATATCGAATTACCGTACTCGATCCCTGACAGAAAAGGTATCACTGGCTGTGATAAATTGGCCGGTGATAAATTTACCGTTCTCCAGTAACTTCATTATACGTAGGAATAATAGAAACTACTACTTTAACACTGTCCGATTTATCGCAGGCGGCAATAATTTCTTGCAAGGAATGTGCATTACAGATACGCCAGGAAGGTAAACAAAGTGTTCAACGAGGTGCTCTTTATCCAATTTTTCGGCAGTATATTGGTGTTCTGCACAAGCGTGTATTATCTATCAGCGCATCTTGCACAGTCCGAGGCCGCGGGTATCGTGGTATACATCATTTGCATGTTCGTGCAGATTTTCTTGTACTGTTGGTCCGGAAACGAAGTTATTCTCAAGGTGCGACCACCACATCTTTCTTTGTGTGCAATTTGCATTTCACAGTCCGTTAGGACAAATGCAAAGCGTTTAAATCGCTGTGACCGAATCCAGACTCGTCAGACTCAGCCACTATCTTTCTATTCATGTTCCGTTCAGAGCGTGGGCTTGGGGGACGCCATGTACCACACAGACTGGACCTCATTGTCACTCAGCGAGAGGAAAGATCTGCTGATGATCATGAAATGCAGCATGGCTCCCATTAAATTCACCAGCAGCTTCTTGATAACTCTGTCTCTCGAATCATACAGCAGCGTTAGTACCGGACTCACATTCGCGGCACTGTTTCGTTGCTGCATACTGGTTTTTTTTCTTGAGGCACTGCGTACGATCTTTCACACGTTCAAATTTATCTTTCAGATACTGAAAACGTCGTATTCGGCATTTAATGTGCTACAACAATCCTGAGACGTTCATTCTAAATTCATCCATTCGTTTCTATCGTATTCCAATTGACGGATTGACGGATTAATTGTTAATGGCTCGTAATAGTTCGTCGGTTCGTCGACGATTTCGGCGACTCAAAAGATGAATCGGAAGAAGATGAAATCGGCAAAAATGAAAAAAGATGAGTTTACACGAACAAATAATTAGCTGAGAGCTGATGGATAACAGATCCTTTGATTAAACACGGCATGTTCTATTAATTATTAATATAATAAAGAAACTAGCTAAGAATTTGATAACCACTTTTTATTTCTTAAAATCTTCGTAATTATATGCCTTGTATTTAATCGATTCTATTTATGTTATTTAAAAAATTTGTTTGGCACTGGCTGGATTTGAAAGGAATTAGAACTAGAAAAATTCACTCCATAAGAATGAAAAGTCACTCTACTTGTTAAATGAAGATTTCATTCCACGAGATATTTACTGAACGACTCAGTATAAAAGAAATGATAGAAAGAGAACACGAAGATAGAAAATGTAAAGGAAATATAGCTTTTGATACGTAATAAATGCGAAACATATCATGTGTATATTAGTACGGATTCCTTCGACATTCGTTATACCCGGTAAGGAAACGGATACTTTACTTGGAGAAGTTTAGTTCTACCCCACATTATTATTCTCTTCTCCTCCTCGTCCTCCTCACGCCATCCTCTTCACACGTATCTATTCTTGTATCTATTTGAACGGTAAGAAACTTTGTGTCATCGTGAGTGACGGAATGTGAAAAATTTAATGCAATATAGTACGTATCCCTGACAATGACGATGAGAAACAATTAACATTTCATCCAGTGGAAATACAGCAACATGCTCGTTTGCAGGAGACGGCGATTACTTAATCGTCGCAGGTGCGGCGACCTCCCGGATTACAATATTCATGAGTGACAGCGACGGCACCGCGGCTGCAAGGAAACAACGGTAAGAGAACCAACAATGGTATAATTCAGTGCAATTAGCAAACGACGCGACGAGCGACGTTTTGCTAATTGCTGCAATTAACCGACATAGAATTATAAAAGATAGAGCGAGCGAATTCGTGCGGATGCGATGTACGATCAAACGTGTTCATTTGCTTGGGAACTTCATTGTCCTTACGATATCGAGGCGAATCGCGTTAATAGTCGGGAATTCCATTATCCTTACGATATCGAGACGAGTCGCGTATTGCGCTCCGATGCGTGGCTGAATTTTGATACTAGAGATCAACTCGGACAAACAGATGGAAGTGCGCGATAAATGTGCAGGTTGGCTTTTCATTTGCGCGCATGTCTTATACAAACAAAAATCTATAGAATCTATAGAATCTATAAATGCAAAAACTGCAAGAGTAAATCCCGTCGCAGAGAGATAGAGGGAGAGAAAGAAAAAGAGAGAAACTATTTCGTTCGGTGTTAAGTGTGAAGTGTGAGAGACGTTCGTGAAGTTAGTTCATCGTGTCGTCATGATTTTGTGAGGCACTGCAATAAATTCAGCATTAATATAAAATCTCGAAAAATCTTCTCATAAAATTGTTGCGTTCCATCCGAGCATTCGATTCGTGAGACGACTGGTCGACTACACTCTCCCACACACCTTGAGATAAACTCTCAGCGATCGCAAGGATGCAGATACTCGCGTTAAATTTTGTTATATATACCACGAGCGGCATTTGGCGGCCGATCGAGTGGTCGTCCGGTACCGCTAAGTTATTGTACAACGTGTATTCCTTCTGCGCGATTGCCTTGATATTGTTCTTGATGATAACCCAATTAATCGACATTGTTCTCGTTGTCAATAACGTGGACGATTTCGTTGCCAATGCTCTCCTGTTCGTGGGTACCGTTGCCGTCAGTTGCAAAATCACGATCGCCATAACGCGTCGGGATGCGATCATCGGTTTGGTGCAAACGCTGCTGAGCGAGCCGTACAAGCCTCGAGACGATGAGGAAGTGGCGATACAATCGAAATGGGACGAGTTTATCAGGTAGGTCTACTTTCTATGATGCTTTCACGTTTGATACTCTTTTATATGCGTACAGATAGCACAGAGAACTCAAAATAATTCTTTATATATATATAAAATAATAGAGATAATATCGTTTATTTATAAAATACAATATATATATATATATATATCAATTTTGCATTTGCAGGATATGGTCAATAAGATTCGCATTGTTGTCGACGGTTTCGGTAACAGGTGTGACGATTAAATCAGTGCTGAACGTCACGCAAGGTCTCTTACCTTACAGAGTGTGGCTGCCGTACGATCCAAACGTAACGGTGATGTTTTGGATCACTTCAATTCAGCAAATAATGTCTATCATTTTCGCCACCATAGTAAATGTCGGCACGGAGACCTTGGTCTTCGGTTTCTTCTTGCAAACGTGCGCCCAGCTCGAGATTCTTGGCAGTCGTCTTCGCAAATTAGCGGCGAACAACATAGTTCATCATCGAAAAGATATTCTACTTTCTGCAAATGGGGGAAAATCCATGATATCGCAACATATACGCCATCACATCGGCATTTACGAGTTAGTTGTTTTGCACAAATCGGTCGTTCGGTGCTTACGGTGCAAAATATGCAAGTCCGATGTACCGAATTAACGAGTTAAATGTTCCCGACCGCGCCATTCGCCACTTTAGCAACACTAACACGAATTCGTTACAGCTATGCCCAAAAGTTAAACAACATATATAATCAGGTACTCTTCTTCCAATTCTTCGCGAGCATATTGGTGTTGTGTACAAGCGTGTACTACATGTCGACGCATTTCACGGAGTCCGAATTCGCCGCTATGATGGTCTACGTTTTCTGCATGTTTATACAAATCTTTCTTTACTGCTGGTCCGGCAACGAAGTTATGCTCAAGGTAAAAAAATGCATTCATATTTTGCAATCCGTCTTCGATGCGGATACACTGAGCATATCCCAGAACCATCTTATATCCTTAATATACAGGGTGTATATATACGATTATTTTGGTTGTTTCCTGGGATGTGGTTGGCAGAGTATAAGCATAGGAGACGCGGCGTACAACATGGATTGGCCTCTACTGTCTCTCAGGGAAAAGAAAGATTTGCTGATGATGATGAAACGTAGCATGATCCCTATAAAATTTACCAGCAGCTTCTTGATTACTCTGTCCCTCGAGTCTTACTGCAACGTTAGTGACATACTTACTCGAATATTCGAATTTCTATCACATCGTGTGCAAATCCTCGTATATTACGATCTATTTCAGATTCTGAGAACATCGTACTCGGCGTTCAACGTGTTACAACAGTCCTGAGATGTACCAACTGACATCGGATGTATTTTCCCGTAATATCGTAATAATGTTTCATTGTTTCTAATAAATTGTAATAGTCGTACATATTAAGAAGCTTCCTCTTGCTTTTTGACTCGACGAGTTCTCTCGATAGACGTCAACTGCATTCCAAACTGGATGGAAAATTGATAAATGTTCAGACCACACAAAAACTAAATGTACGTAACGTAAATTACAAGTTGTTTATTGTAACGTGAATTCGAAGATCATCAGTATTGTCAGCATTTTGGAACGCGGCAATGATGTCAGGGACCGGGCGAGATAGAGGGAAAGGTATTTTAGACACTGTCTTTTAAATACTTGTGTTGCGTTAAATATTTGTTTGTAAAAGATAACCGATATTCCAGTGAGCACAGAACATTTCGCGTACAATACGTAGGTTGTGACAATACGTCTTTCTCTGCGGCACTCGTCGCACTTGACGAGCAGACGCGCGCGCGGACTTCTGGTCTAACTTAGGGAACGCGTTCGACTGCGCGTATCACCCCTCTTTGCCGCCTTCCTTCGTACTATAGGACGATACAGTCCTCTCTTGTGCTGTGGGAAATATAATTTAATTACTGGCGATGAAAACAATTCATCGGGCTGAAAATACAACAATATCCTACGAATGTACACGGGAGAATAGTCTTTAATTGTCTTAAATAGAGCGACGTATTGCAGTATTTATGAGCGAGACAATGAAAAAACGGTAAGGGAAGAACGGCAGGCAACGTGTATCGTACTCACGCATAATACAGGCAACAGCTTCTCTACATTAATTACCGTCGTTAATAGCGTAGAGTCGTAGAATTAAAACGAACCAAACAACACCGCATCGACATACCACGCGACGACTGACATTATTCATATAGAATTTTGTCGTCATCTCTCATATCTATTTTCATTGAGAAACGAGTTATATTTTATTTCACGCACCGCCGATCGCAACATGCAAATGTTTTCGTTCAACTTTATCATATGCGCCATAGGCGGCATATGGCGTCCCACCGGGTGGTCGTCAACCTGCGCCAGACTGCTGTACAACGCGTACTCCCTCTTCACGATAATCCCGTTGTACTATATAGGGCTGACCCAATTTATGGATCTCGTCCTCGTGGTCGACAACATGGACGATTTCACCACCAATTCCCTGATGTTTATGACCATCCTTTCGGTTTGTTGCAAAATGACGGTCGCGGTGGTACGTCGGGGCGAGATGATCGATCTGGTGAAAACGTTGTCGCGAGAGCCGTGCAAGCCTCGGGACGCGGACGAGGCGGCGATACAATTGAAATTCGACAGGTTCATCAGGTAAGTCGTCTCGTTCGAAGTGAGAATCGCGCCTCGTACGAAAAGAAGACTCGTTGAATGAACGTAACGTAACGTAACTAAGCGCGTTTCAGTGAGAAGAATCGAAATATCTGGTTTTCACGAACCAAATTCGATTTTTAGTACCTTTAATGTTGGGTCAATTTTACGGACTTGACGTTCACGCCGCGTAAGTCATCGGTGAATCACGTTATCGTGGAGAAGAAGCACCAAAACCGACATACTATTTTATTTGCAGTCTCTGAAACCCTGTCGAGGGTGTGAAATTAAAATAAGGTTAAAATTTGTATCCATTTGGACCCAAACTAGCGACATTTTCTTCCAAAATACGCTACGCAACAACAATTAGGGGAGCACTTGACACTTTCTCAGAAAATAGGCACGATTCAAGCAGCTTTAATTTCGTCAAAAGTTATCGAGATCCAAATCTGTAAAAAGTATATATGAAAAATATAGTACGTCAATTTATCGTACTTATGTCAGTTTCGGTGCTTTTCCTTGATACGTTACGTCACGTAGATTCGACCGATATTTTTTTCTCGCGCGCGTTTTGTGCTTCAATGTCAGTTCAGTCGGAGTGTTCTAATCTGACATTCACGTTTCCAGGTCGTACTCGATCAAATACACGCTTTTGTCGTCTACCGCTCTCACAGGCGTCACCACCGGCTCGGTGCTGAGTGTTATGCAGGGTATTTTGCCTTATAGAGTGTGGCTGCCGTATGATTCGGACTCAATATCCCTGCTGTTCTGGATCACGTCTATTCTGCAAATTATATCAGTGATCAACGTCGCGATTATAAACGCCGGCATTGAGACCTTGATCTCCGGCTACTTTTTACAGACGTGCGCTCAGTTCGAAATATTTGAATGTCGTCTTCAGAAATCGGTGAACAACAGACCGGCCACGAGATCAGCCAGCACATATCGCAGGTGCTTCTTAGCAACTTCGGCGAGTCACGAGAAGATGATAATATCGGAACACATACGTCATCATCTCATTATTTTCGAGTTAGTCATATGTGGAGCTTTCTGTTTATTCATGTGATATGAGATTTCGTTTCCTAATTGTTTCATTATATGTGCGTCACAGGTACGCCAAAAGGGTAAACAACGTGTTCAACCAGGTGTTCTTTATTCAATTCCTAGGCAGTATATTGGTATTGTGTACGAGTGTGTATTATCTGTCGTCTCACATGATGGAGCCGGAGCAAGACTCTGCTCGTGTACACTATCGGCATGTTTGTGCAAATTTTTCTCTATTGCTGGTCCGGAAATGAGGTCATACTTAAAGTAAGAGGCCATTTGCTTTTCACTTTCCGTTCCGGCAAACACACACACTTTGTGAATCCCCGAGGCGAAGATTCCCTCCTACATTAAATTCTTTCCACGTTTTTATTCCACGATTTTTTAATGTTTGATACTTAATGTCTACCTTTTTAATACCTCGATCTTCGTCGATTGGACATCTTCCGACTCCACTTGACCCACAGATTTTATCCAAAGCGTAAGAATGAATTGAAATTTGGAATTTTTATTCCTTGGAAAACTTCTATCTCAAAACTCCAAGTGAGAAATGGTTGTCTATTTATTCAAGATGCAAGATTTCTCTCTAGAAGCTCGAGTCTTGTATAAATGGAAACTGTAGTTATCGTTTGAAATCTGAAAATGTTGGCAGATTCAAGTCGAGTTGAAAGTCGAATTAAATTGATTTTAGAGCTGACAACGGGATAAGTCGAGATTACTGTCGAATAATTATTTCATTACTACAGAGTTCGAGCGTAGGAGATGCGGTGTATAATACGAACTGGCCTTCACTAACGGTCAGCGAGAAGAAAGATCTGCTGATGATCATGAAACGTAGTGTAATTCCTATTGAATTTACCAGTAGTTACTTGATAACTCTGTCTCTACAATCTTTCAGTAGCGTTAGTATTATTTTGACGGGTTTTTTTATTTAATACAAGAGAGATCTTTTCTACATTACGTTTTTTTTTCAGATTCTGAAACTATCATATTCGGCATTCAGCATGCAACAGTCATGAGATGGGAACAGTTGAGAATGCAGCGCGAATTCATTCAGAAATAATTATAATATTAATAATGTCGTAGTACTTATAAAATAACAACGGCTGTGTAAATATTAAAATTTTCGTCTACGTGTTTATCTGAACTTTATTATTCTCCACTCGAATTATGTCATTGTAATTGGAGGTATTGAGTAAGAAGCTAAGCGCGCTAAATTAGCTTTCTCTTTTGCAACTAAATTTTATCGTTGTCGCAACGAATACGCAGCAGCAACGCGCACAACAACAGCAAAACTATTTTTCTCCGTGCGAGAAATAAATGACCGCACACCAAGTGAAAACCGAGTGAATTTCGATTGAATTTTCGCGCGCGGAAGAGTGCTTATGATTTTGGTTGATAATAAAAATATATCGCTTCAGTATATTTTACATACTATCTGCGAGACACTCCTTGTGTGCTTCACACATTTTTCTCGGGTGTTCGTCGTACTCGACAAGGAGACGCGTTACGTTCAACTTGGGAAACATCTGATTGTATTGTACGTATGCACCCCGCATGCTCCGTCGCCCCCGGAAGACGACAACGTCCGCACTCGTATGAGAGAAATAGCTATTTTAGCACATCGAATTGCCGGCGGTGAACGAAATGAAAATCCCATCAACATTTCATCGAATGAGAATGCGACGGCATGCTCGAATGCGAGGGACACCAGCAGTCTTTAAACGTCGCCAATAAAGCGACCTTTACAATATTCATGAGCGACATGACGGTAAAACGATGAAGAAGACGAGTAAGAAGAGAACGGTAAGAGGAGCAACATATAGCGTAATCAACGCACAATGGCAAAACTCCTCTTCATTAATGACCGTCATTAATAACGTAGAGTCACAAATTACGGCGGACGAACCCACGTAGTCCGCGAGATACAGCACCGGCTCTATTTCTTTGGAGAATTTTCGGTATCTCCGCGATATTTATCGAGGAACGAGTCACGTTCTCGCGTTGCCCCGTGTTGGACGAAAAAGTGCGAGGAGCGAAGGGAATCTCGAGGAAATAGCACGCTATAAATATTCCGGAGACTGTTTACTTTTTTTGTCGGACGTCGCACCTACGCTTCGTTCTCTTCCGGTTGTTTCGCATTTCATTATCAGTAGGACATAAAGAATTGGTGATCGTAGCTGAAAGGCGGCATACTTCATCTGACTCTTTTGTCTTTGATCTTTCCCTTTTCCGTTTGGACCCGCACATCGATGGATTGTTGAGAGGCGCGCAATAAACAGCGACTCATAGGCGCGGTATTTCCAAAAATCGCCGCGAAAAGTGAAGTAAATTATTCCTGGCACCGTGTTCGACGAGAGAACTCGTCGGAGACGACGACCCCCAGGTAGCAAATATGAGATGCCGACACAGTTCGCGGAGTCCACCGGTTGCAAATTCAGTGTCACAGTAGATCACTGCTCATTTCGTATTAAACCTCATCTCGAGACATCGTCACGTCTCGTTAACTATTTTACCTTCGCACGCATGATAATTAATCGAAATATACCCGAGGTACAGTGCCGCTGAAAAGAAAATTGTTTCGGTGATTTTGCGCGCAAAAGAAGTGCCGTCGCATGTGCGATGTCTCGATAAACCGTTCGCGAACATGCAATTGCTTTCGTTCAATTTCTTTATATACACTGTAGGTGGTATATGGCGACCCATCGAGTGGTCGTCGAGCTATGCTAAGCTGCTGTATAATACGTTCACCTTCAGCACGATAGTCCCGTTATACTTCATGGTGATGACCCAATTCATGGACCTCGTATTCGTGGTCGATAACATAGACGATTTCACCACAAATTCCCTAATGTTTATAACCATCGTTGCCGTTTGTTGCAAAGCGACGATCGCAGTGATGCGTCGGGCCGAGATCATCGATCTGGTGCAAACGTTGTCGCGAGAGCTGTGCAAGCCTCGGGACGCCGAAGAGGTGGCGATACAAACGAAATTCGACGAGTTCATCAGGTAGGTAGTTGCTTCATTCGAACGTGAAAAGCGCGCTTTGCACGGAAGAAAAGAAGATTGGTCGAATAGCGGTGTGAACCGAGCGCGTTTTTACAGAAGGAAACAGAATTTCTGGCTTTTTTCTCAGCCAAATTCGACACTTAACCATTATTACTTAGACTATTATTTGAACGGTAACACTTTTTCTAATATATAATATTATTAATATTGCTACTACCATTCCTGTGTTCATTTTTATTTTGATTGAGCACAGCCCTTCGAAATATTTTGATTGATTAAAACCATAAGATAAGGTATAGCGTTTAAGCCAAAAATCACTATAACTTCTCTCACGTGCTCGTTAGCAGAATTTTATTTCTTAAATAATGTCTCGTAATAATGATCGACGTACTTGATGATTACGTTTCGTTTACGAGCCAAATTATCGAACGACTAGAACGGAAAGGGTTCAATGTCGGTCACCGGTGACCGGCCACGCGGGACAAGAAAATTTGTTTCCTTTCACCAAAAACACGCTTAGCGTTACGTCTTATCACGTTGATTTCCAACCATTTTTTTTCCTGTACATGCTTTGTGCGCTTTAATGTCAACGTAATGGCACTCACGTTTCCAGGTCATGCTCGATCAAGTATTCGCTTTTGTGTACCAGCTCCCTCACGGGCGTCACCATTAGATCGGTGCTGAACATTATGCAGGGCATATTGCCTTACAGAGTGTGGCTGCCGTACAACTTGAATCTATCCGTGATGTTCTGGATCACGTCTATTCAGCAGATCGTCTCCTTGATCTTCGCCACTCTCATCAACGTCGGCACGGAGACACTGATCTTCGGCCTGTTCTTGCAAACGTGCGCACAACTCGAGATCTTCGAGAGGCGTCTTAAGAAGCTGGTGATTAGCAAAACGAAATTGGGCGATCATCGCGACTGTTACTCGGGCGTCTTCGCGCCGAATCACGGGGGAAAAATAATGTCGCGACATATACGCCATCATCTCAGTATTTACGAGTTAGTCATAAGTGTAGCTACCCTTTTACATGTTTGTAATGCAAAATCCCGCCCAGAATGGTCTTGTTTCATCGGACGTGCTGCGCCGCAGGTACGCCAAAACAGTAAACACCGTATTCAACCAGGTATTTTTCGTTCAATTTTGCGGCAGCATATTAGTATTGTGTACGAGTGTGTATTACTTATCGTCTCACATCGCGGAATCGGAAGCTGCGACTCTGATAATATACACTTTCGGCATGTTTGTACAAATTTTCGTTTACTGCTGGTCCGGAAACGAGGTCATACTCAAGGTAAGAAGCCACTTGCGTCTTATTTCCGCAGTGAACACTTTTTGCGAATCGTAATATTGGAAGGCGACAAATACTTTGTGACTAAATTAAGGAGCGGGGAATAAAAAATACCTATACTTAACATAATGTTAAATATGTCCTTAAACTAAATTTGAAGATCACGATAGACTGACTCGTTGTCATTGTCGACCAATCATTTTATTATCGTCACATCAACAGAGTGCGAGCATAGGAGACGCGGTCTATCACATGGACTGGCCTTTACTAAAAGTCAGCGAGAAGAAGGACCTGTTGATGATCATGAAACGAAGTGCAATTCCTATCAGATTTACCAGTAGTTTCCTCATAACTCTGTCCCTACAATCTTACAGTAACGTTAGTATTACTTTGATATACGGGACATCTTATTTGCTACAATAGAGATTTTTTACGCTATGCTTCTTTTTCAGATTCTAAAAACGTCGTACTCGGCGTTCAATGTGTTACAACAGAAGTAAAAACAGTCGAGAGTAAAGCGCGAATGTATTTATAAATAACGATAATCATATTGTAGTAAAGTGTGTAAAATAATGGCTATGTATAGACGTTAAAGTTCTTTCTCTTTACTAGAAATAGAAATATATCATCTTAACACACGATACATACCACGTGCATTCTGTTTGTCTTCCACAATTGACAGATTCTCCCTCGACAAATCGGCAGTCGTATTACTCGACGAAGGAAAAGCACAACTCAGTCGTATGCATCTGATTGTACTTTAAATACATTACCACCTTTGCCTGCATCGCCACGCAACGATAGACGGTATACATAGTCCTCTCTCTTGTAGGGAAAATAGAATTTAGAAACACCGAATTGCCGGCGACATGGAAACTCATTAACATTTCATCGGATGGGAATACAACGACATGCTCGAATGCGAGGCACAGGTTAGACTCTTAAACGCAAATAAAGCGACATTTCCAATATTCATAAGTTACACGACAGAAACTTGGCAAAGTAAGAAAGGAACGAACCAAAGAAAAGTAATAATTATCGGGCGAAGTAATCTACCGTAATAGGTCTCTATTTCATTAATGACCGTTATTAATGGCGTGGGATCGTGCCGAGTGGAGATGCGGGACGCCGCGCTTAGTCACCTTGCAGTACGCATTCAACTACATTCTCTACGAATTTCATTATCCTCTGCGACAGTGAAGCAACTTACACCACTGCGTATCGATTGTTATCGTGTCATCCAACAAATGCGTTTACGATCGCGATTATTGGCGTGACTCTCGTCAGATGCTAATGAAGCCAGTAAACGATTAAACTACTCAACTGGCGAGGTTGCCAACTTGAAAATTGAACGTAGCTTGTTATTGAAACATGTAAGAAAATGCGATTGACGTTTCTTTGTAACTTATATTTACATAAACACGATTTCATTATCTTCCGGAGTCAAATATTACCTGTTTTATTTGTCAATGTGTACGGATTACATTTTTTTTTTTATTACTGCTAAACGATAAATTACATGAGTGCAAGTTTTTGTCGAAGATTCTGTTAAAACGGATAATCATCGATTAATCGAAATATAGTGAAAGTCACCCTTAATTTGCGACGATTAATCGTTATATCTCAGATACTTGGCACCCACACATATAAACATATATACATACGCGACGCCAGTAGATATTTTTTTCCTCCAGATACTCTTCCAGATAGTTCACGCGTAGTGCAAAGTTGCGCCTTAATAGCGTAACGTACTTCCGCCTCGATTCAAATAATCACGAAAATGCAATTGCTCCGATTGAATTTTCTGATATACACTGTGGGTGGTATATGGCGGCCCGTCGCGTGGTCGTCGGGCTGTGCTAAGTTGCTGTACAGCTCATTCACCTTCTGCACGATAGTCTCTTTGTACTTCCTGGTGCTGACCCAATTCATGGATCTCGTTCTCGTAGTCGATAACATGGACGATTTCACTACTAATTCTCTAATGTTTGTGAGTATTATTATCGTTTGTTCCAAAGCCACGATCGCGGTGATACGTCGAGATAGGATCATCGGTCTGGTACAAACGTTATCGCGGGAGCCGTGCAAGCCGCAGGACGTGGATGAAGCGGCGATACAATCGAAATTCGACAAGTACATCAGGTAAGTCGTTTCGTTCAGGGTGCGAACCACATTAAATAAAAGTCGGTTGATCACTTTAGGTAACGTGACGTAAGTAGACGTGTTTTGTTGGTGGGAAATACAATATTTAGTTTTTACGAACAAAATTTCCTTTTTAACACATTCCATGCAGGACCAGTTTTACATGACTTGTCATCCAAGCTGCGTATATTATTTTCCTTCCAACTCAATATTTTACGATCATGTTCCGATTTAGAGCTAAATTATCAAATGGCCTGTATGCAACATGGAACGTGTTAAGAACCAGAAATTCTATGTTCTTCCAACTGAACGAGCTTCGTTATAATGTGTCAAATTAATTGAATCGATCAATCTTTCCAATGCGTTTTTCATGCTTCGGTATCGGTTTAAATCTAACGTTTCCAGGTCACGTTCGATAAAGTATTCGCTTTTGGCAACCAGCTCTCTCACAGGTGTCACCATCAGATCGGTGCTGAACGTTATGCAGGGTATCTTGCCTTACAGAGTATGGCTGCCGTACGACTCAAATTTATCCCTTACGTTCTGGATCACGTCCATTCAACAGATCGTTTCCTTGATTTTCGCCACTCTCATTAACGTCGGCACAGAGACACTGGTCTTTGGCCTATTCTTGCAAACGTGTGCACAACTTGAGATCTTAGAGAGGCGTCTTGAGAAATTGGTGATCAGCAGAACAGCGAGTCGGAGGTGTTTCTCCGTCGATTCTGCGAGTCACAAAGAAGAAACAATGTCGAGATATATACGTCATCATCTCAGTATTTACAAGTTAGTCATATGTGTGTGTGTGTGTGTATATGAAATATAAAATTTTGTGTGAATTTTTAATATAACATTTCGTCCGAAACCGAGTTGTCTCATCAGACGTGCGTCGCAGGTATGCCAAAACGGTAAACAGCGTGTTCAACCAGATACTCTTCATTCAATTCTTCGGCAGTATATTAATATTGTGTACGAGTGTATATTACTTATCGTCTCACGTTATGGAATCCGAAGCCGCCACTCTGTTAATATACACTATTTGCATGTTTGTACAAATTTTTGTCTACTGCTGGTCCGGGAACGAGGTCATACTCAAGGCAAGAGGATATTTGCGTTTTATTTCCGCTGCCAGTGAACATTCTTTGTGAATTGTAATATTGGAAGGTTGCAAATATTTGAGACAAAATTAAGGAACGGGGAATAAAAAATACCTAAACTTAGCATAATGTTAAATAGTACTAAAATTGAATTTGAAGCTCACGATAGCCCGATTCGCCATTATTGTCGATCAATCACTTTATTACCGTCACATCGACAGAGTGTGAGCATAGGAGACGCGGTCTATCATATGGACTGGACTTTACTAAAAGTCAGCGAGAAGAAGGATCTTTTGATGATCATGAAACGAAGTGTAATTCCTATCAGATTTACCAGTAGTTTCCTCATCATTCTGTCCCTACAATCTTACAGTAACGTTAGTATTACTTTGATATACGGGATATCTTATTTGCTGCAATAGAGATTTTTTATGCTATGCTTCTTTTTCAGATTCTAAAAACGTCGTACTCGGCGTTCAATGTGTTACAACAGAAGTAAAAACAGTCGAGAGTAAAGTGCGAAATGTATTTACAAATGTCGATAATAATATTGTAGTAAAATATTTAAAATAACAGCTATGTATAAACGTTAAAGTCCTTTCCTTTTTACTGGTAATAGAAATATATCTTCTTAATACACAATACATACCACGTGCATTCGGTGTGTCTACCACACTTGACAAATTCTCTCTCGACAAATCGGCAGTTGTATTACTCGACGAAGGAGAAACTCAACTTCGTTGCACGCATCTGATTATATGTTATCACCTTTGCCTGTGTCGTATACACAGTCCTCTCTCCTATAGGGAAAGTAGAATTTAGAAACATCGAATTGCCGGCGACATGGAAATCTATCAATATTTCATCGGATGGGAATGCAACGGCATGCTCGCATGCGAGGCACAGCTAAAATTCTTAAACATTACGCAAGTAAAGCGACCCTTGCAGTATTCATAAGCGACATAACAGAAACTCGGCGAAGTAAGAAAGGAACGAACCAAAGAAGAGTAATACCGGGCAAAATAATCCACCGTAATAGGTAACTCTATTTCATTAATGACCGTCATTAACGGCGAGCGGTCATGCCGTGTGGAGATGCTGGAAGCCGCGCTTAGTCTGCTTTGCAGTACGCATTCAACTACATTCTCTACGAATCAAATTATACTCTGCGACATTGAAGCAACATACGACAGCGCGTATCGATTATTATCGCGTCGTCCGACAAATGCGTTTACGATCGCGGTTATTGTCGTGACTCCCGTCAGATGCTAATGAAGCCAGTAAACGATTAAATTTACTCAGCCGGCGAGGTTGGCAACTTGAAAAATTGAACGTAGCTTGTTATTGAAACATGTAAGAAAATTCTATTGACGTTTCTTTGTAACTTATGTTTGTATAAACACTATTTCATTATCTTTCGGAGTCAAATATTACCTGTTTTGTTTGTTAATGTGTACGGATTATTTTTTTTCTTATTACTACTAAACGATAAATTACATGAGTGCAAGTTTTAGTCAAAGATTCTATTAATTCGGATAATCATCAATTAATCGAAATATAGTGAAAGTCACACTTAATTTGCGACGATTAATCATTATATCTCAGATACTTGGCACACACACACACACACACACGCACACACACACACACGCGCATCCATACACGATACTTAGATAGTTATTCCTTCAGATACCCTTGCAGATGATTCACGCGTAGTACAAAATTGCGCCTTTGCATAACGTGTACTTCTGCCTCTATTCGTAATCACGAAAATGCAATTGCTTCGGATGAA